TTATTGTATGACAGTTTAATAATTTGTGTAGCAAGTTGCAGTTATTTCACTTCCCATTCCATTCGTTCATCCTCCCCCAATGGCAGCATAGTAGGTTTATATGCACCAGCAACACCACAGATATGTGTGGTGTGTACTGTGATACATCCTTACAGACATGACAAGAAGTTTTCAGCACCAGTGCAGTCTATGGGACTACTGATATAGATGTGAACTGTTGTGGGTAGATGTCTTGTCAAGCGCTGCATCCAAAGAGGCTCAATCGTAGATGTCTATGCGAAGTCTATGGATATAGACAGAATGAAATAAACAATAGTCATGTCTTCCTCTGTGTTCTAAAAAAAAAAGAACAGAATAAAGGTGGTGGTTAAAAAATTTAACAGGATGTCTTTCTGGTCATTCTAGCGCCCATCTCTGAATTTATGCATTCTTCCAATGCTTTATAACTTGCCTATTCTGATGCTAAGCTGTGGTGTTGCCCTCTGATGGTCAAACCCTGGTACTGAAAGAAGAACACTGAAATTGGAAACTTGCATGAAATTGTGAACTCAGTTCAGCAGTAGGCACTTGGTTATTTAAAGAGTGCACACAGTGTGTAGGTTTTAATACAATGACAAACCCACTGAAAACGAGTCTGCGGGAGGTTCAGATTTCAGAAGCAACAAAAATCTGCCTCTCCAAATGAGAAAGCTATCATCTCATAGATGGTAGGACAAATGCCATTCATTCTCTGGACAGACGATGCTGCTGGAACTAAATTCTGACCCTGGCGTGTCTTGTCTAGTATGTTCGAGAGCTGCTGTGAAGAAACACCCATACCGATGAATGCACAGTAACAGGAGCAACAAGATGATCAATCTCTTATTGAGTGTTTGGCATATAGCTTCAATATTCATTTCTTTTATCTAAAAGATAGGGTACATCACCATTAATTTTCTATGGAGAAAACAGATTAAGAGGGAATGCTACTTTTCCAAAGGTCCTTTCAAACTGGTGAAAAACCTCATGCACGTAACCAACACCCTTCAGGAGGCATGCTGTCTTTGGTACCTTAACTCAGGCTTTCACGACTCTGCTCTGATTATAGAGCCCTGCCGTGCTGGAGGGGTAGGCTGACAATATCCATTATCATACACTTCCTGGGCTGAAGACTCAGAGGCACAAGCATTTTCATAGTAGTGGCATCCCTGGGGATATGGACAATCCGTAGAGTCTGGGGCTGAGCCTCTGCAGGCTAGTACTTGGTAACTAGTCCAGTGTGGTTAAGCCCCTGAGTTGCTGAGCCTGGATTGAGTATCTGTGAAATGAATGATGTGGTGCTTTTCCTTTTAACTCTAAAGATTGTCTAAAGTAGCTGGTGAGGAAGAGGATTTGAACTCACTCAAAATTCTCTGTCCTTTTTATGATCGTGCTCACAGAATCACAAATTCTTTCATTTTGTTTCTCATATGCTTCTTAAATATGGCATGTCTACTTTTTATTTATTTTATTTTATTTTATTTTATTTGAGTTACGAGACAGATTCTCTGTGTAGCTCTGGCTGTTCTGGAACTTGGTTTGTAGATTAGGCTGTCTTCGAACTCAGATATCTGCTTGCCTCTGCCTCCCAAGTTCTGGGATTAAAAGATTGTGCCATTACACTTGGCTTGCACATCTATTTTATCTGTATAATCACTGAGCCATTATGGGCCCCATAATCTCCTGAATAGCGTGCTCTCATGATCTCTAAGGGCTCCGACTTGACATTTATCCTCTGCAGTCCATGTTCTACCCATTTGCCAGGAGTCTCTATACCAAGCACCCACTTGCCTCTTCCTCACCATGCACACCCTATACAGCAGTGGTTCTCAACTTCCCTAATGCTGTGACCTTCTAAAGGATTTCATCATGCTGTGGTGACCCCTCCCCATCATAAAATTATTTTCATTGCTACTTTATAACTGGAATTTTTCTACTGTTATGAATTGTAATTCAAATATCTTACATGCAGGATGGTCTTAGGCAGTTCCCATGAAAGGGTCACTCAGTCCCCATTGGGGCCACCATCCCACAGGTCGAGAAACATTGCTCTAAAGGATTATCATCTTCAGTGAGAAACAGCCCAGGAGTCTGCCTTCATCTACCTTCTGTGCTTCTCCAGCTCCCTGTTCTCCACTTCCTCCCCCTTGCCTCACTTCCACCTCTCTACCTATTCTAACTACACTATATGCATTGTACAACCTTTTTCCTATCCTGGCTATTACTTGTTTTAATATCCCCTCTCCCTTTTATGTGGTCAATTATATATATTTTTTCATTTTATTCCTGAATCAGAGTCTTAATATATAACCTAAGCCAGTGTTGACTTTGTTAGACCCTGGTTTCAACCTTCCCGGTTCCAGGGCTATACCTAGATGTACACCTGTATGCTTAGCTTTCCTTGGTGAGTTTAAACTCATCAGTTCAGATATCATTCCCAGAAAGTTTATTCTCTCCTCGGTAACCCCAGTCTCTCCTGAGCCTTTCTCTGCCTCAGAGCCTCTCTAATTTAGCTGACCTGAAGTACTGTAATTAGATTCCTCATACATGCACTTCCTTACCATAGTCACTGACTTGAAGAAAGGAACTACTCCAAATTCGTCTCTATCTTCCTAGTGCAATCGAGTAGCCACTATGAATGTCAAAAAAGATTGTGCTACCACAGCTGTCCTAAAAGGCCAGGAAACCCTTTTCTTCTGGTGAACAATAGTGAGCACAGAGACCTGCAGCTGCTCCAGATTTCCGGTGAACAATAGTGAAGGCACATCTGCAGCTGCTCCAGATGTGGAGGATAAGCTATAACTGAGTGCTCACCTCTAAATAAGACACTTCCTTAAATAAATAACACACTTCCTGTAAGACTGGAGAAACACCGTGGGAGAGAGGACAGAAAGTATGTAGGAGCCAGACAGGGAGGGGAGGCATAAGATGCCACCTTCAGGCATGATGCAGTCACTGCATTCCTGAACTCACAGCAGCTGCAGTTAACCTGCACTGAACCTGCATCCGCACAGCCAGGATGGCCCATTAGCCATCAGTTATGGCGGAAGATGGTGTCATGAGTTCTTATCCCTCTCTGTTTAACTATTGGAAACTGAAAGATTCTGGAAGAGGGGGAGTCCTTGTCTTGGGTTTTGGGCTCACTGATGAGTGTACCAAGTTCCAGGGAAAAGTACTGAACTTATGGCTGAACAGTCACCGTTGACCAATCTCAGTGGGTCACCAGACAAAATAAAAAGACTCAGATGTGGGAAAAGGATTCGTAGTGATGGAAGGGTCTTGAGAGGGTGGGAGATGAAGGTAATTTATTAGAATGCATCTTATTCATGCATGAAGATGTCAAGGAGCAAAGTAATTTTTAAAAACAAATTCCTCTTTTGAACTTAGAAGCATTCATGACCTAAGTAAATATACTTAGTTTATGTCATGCTCTGAATATATGTTTACTGTATATTACAGTGTTTATATATGTATATAATTGTAAACTTATATACATATATATATACACATATATACAATTAACTTATCAAAGATCACAGCTCTTCTTCACCCTGAAAAGAATCAAACTTCAAACTGTGGGCATTTAAAGAAAGGACACGGGGCTGAAGGGATGGCTCAGTGGTTAAAAGCACACACTGATCTTGCAGAAGACCCAAGTTAAGTTCCCAGCACCAACACTGGGAACAACCTATAACCTCAGCTCCAAAATCGTCTCATGCCCTCTTCTGGCATCTGCAAGTGCCACCCACCCACTCACGTAATTAAACCAAATCTTTAAAGAAAGGATAACATGAAATCCTTGTGGGTATTGCTATAGAATAGTGACTTTCAACCTTTCTAATGCTGTGACCCTTTAATATAGTTCCTAATGTTGTGGTGACCCCAATCATAAAATTATTTTATTACTACACCATAACTGTAATTTTGCCACTGTTATGGATTATAAAGCGAATATCTGATCTGCCCCGTCAAAGGGGCTGAGACCCACTGGTTGAGAACCACTGCTGTAGAGGCTTTGGCTTGAAAGCAGTGTGGGTGATCCGCATGTGCCTGTGGTTGAAGCCTGCAGCATGGGGAAGAAGTAAGATTGGGGCAACGAAAGTTCTGCCCTGTGCTTCCATTAGTGATTCTTCCATGTGGTGTAAACTATTGTCCTCCATTGTCAAACCAAACCCTTGATGGGAAGAGACATATTTCATAAGAAAGTATAAGGGGTGTAAAGACTTTTGCTGATACTGTGAGTGACCTTGCTTATAAATACTGGTCATCTATACTATATATTTATAGTCCTTTTTATTATTAAGGACATTTAAAATGACAATTCGAAAAGCGTCAACTGCTGCTGGACTTGCGGTGTAAGAATTATGTTATGATGTTTTCTCTTATTTCCAGTGCACATCATAGTGCATATCTAGAAGCTTACGTTTTTATGACCTCTTGCAGAAATCCAATCTGTGTTTCCAAAAGTTGGGAGCCTTGGTGGAAGAACAGACATCACCATTACAGGAGATTTCTTTGACTCTTCTGCTCAGGTTACCATTGCAGGTAATTATGTTAAAATGGATGTAAATGGTTCAGTTTTAAATGCTATAGGAGTTTCTATCTCTAATGACCCAAGACTGTGAAGGGAAGCTTTCTTACATTTTTTAAATTTATTTATTAAAGATTTCTGTCTCTTCCCTGCCACCGCCTCCCATTTCCCTCCCCCTCCCCCAGTCAAGTCCCCCTCCCTCATCAGCCCAAAGAGCAATCAGGTTTCCCTGCCCTGTGGGAAGTCCAAGGACCACCCACCTCCATCCAGGTCTCGTAAGGTGAGCATCCAAACTGCCTAGGCTCCCACAAAGCCAAGTACGTGCAGTAGGATCAAATACCCATAAACATTCGTCTGCTTTTTAATTAATTAATTAATTTGTTGTGTGCGTGTCTCTTTGTGTGCATGTGTATCTGCAGGTGTATTTAAGAACTTTACAAATTCTCCTTAGGCATCCCATGTGACATTAGACGTGTGTCTCCCAGGAAGATTGAGTGCACTACCAGGGCTCCAGGAAGAGGAGCAAGGCTCACTGCTCCTCAGGCTGGTAAGGAAGTCACCACGGCTGCTCAGTGATCTCTCCACTGTCATGCTTTGTCCCAACAATCTGGAGAGCAGAAGGAAACATGTTGACTGGATCCCTAATGCCGGGGCAAAGCCTTTCCTATCAGGGACTATCTCAGACTCATTGAGTCGCAAATGGCACTAGATTCCTAGCCCTAGCCACATGTCTAAATGATAGACTCCAGGCAGAATAGAACTGCCACCAAGACACGGCAGCTCTTGGACGGAATCCCCAAACTGACGCTCTGCATTTGGTAGGAAGGGTGCATGTGTGTTGGCCGAGGAGACAGGAGCAGTGGAGCATGCTCTTTTGTGCTCCTAGCAGCAGCAGTAGGTAGGTCAGTGAGTAGGGCGTGCTGGGGTATATTTCAATGCTGTTTATTTCCCCTGTGGGCCTTTGCCCGCTGATATCACAGATGGGGATATGCGGTGACATGGCCACCCGCATCTGCCTCCAATAGACAGAAACGGAGGAGGCAAGGCAGCAGGTTCCACCTGTCCTTCTTAGTATGAAGCGCCCATATTTTAGCATGAGAGACTCTAGTGCAGTTAAGCATAAGGAAGGTTGGCAAGTTGCTCTGCAGAGAATGACAGTCCGATGCTGTGCATAAGGCACTGACCTAATGTTTAAAGATGTAGTGAGCCAATTCCAAAGGCTCGGCACCTGTAAGCAAAGCTGCCCTGCAAGAGCAAAGCCTTTCTAAAGATGGGCCTTTGCTGTGTGGAGACACATAGAATGCTCTGGCTGGAGAATTCTGCAGCACCCAGATCCCCAGTGTTTACTTGAGGAGAGCTCCCATCCCAGGAGACAAAGGTACTGAAACAAGTAATACAAAGAGTTTCCTGCAGCAGGAAGCAGGAGCCAGTTCCCTTGTTGAGCGTTTGCTGCTTAAGCTGCTTCAGCCGTGGTAGGATCGTTTCCGGAAAGCAGCTGTTTGAGTTAGTGATGTCCTTTATGAAAGCTTTTGAGGTTTGCCCCATGGAAGTGGGGCAAAACTCCACGCAAAGCGGTACTGCTCCAACATTTCTGATTCTTGTCCTCAGAAGACAGGACGACATTAACATCTATTGAGTAGACATCAGGGATGCAGCCCATCCTGCAGTGTACAGCACAGTCCAGCAACAGAGCTGCCCAGAGTAAAATAGCAATAGTGTGGAGGATGAGAATCCCAAAGTTACAGGAACATTCTTAACATGCTCCTAAGTCTCTGCTTTTCCCTTATTTACTGTTTATCTTTGGGCTCAACGAGGATCAACATTGGTAGTTTATAATAATAGTTATCATGGATATCCTTTATTGAGTCCTCACTCTCTCTCCACATCCTTTCAGCTGTTGTATATTTCTAGTTCTTATTGACCCTGTTTTGATGTATGAGTGAACGGGGACCCAGGGCATTGAAAAACGCTCCTAAACTTCATACCTAGTAAAGGGTGGAGCAAGAATCTGAATGATCAGTCAAGATGACTATCCAATATTGATCAAAATTAGTTTCCAGTATCAAAGCCCATATGCCTTTTGACTTAAGGTTTTCTTAATATAAAGTGCACATTAATAAATACAGCATCATTTAAATGTCACATAATTAAATTGTGCCACTGATTGGCTTTGTGTGCAGGTCAATAAATTGAAATCATGATACTTGAAAATTTTAAGGGCTGGCAATTTTTCTAGGAAAAGGAAATTTTATGGAATCGAATTTGCAGGCTGAATCAGGGCTTTAAGGACACTGAAGGTCATGTCCAATTTCAGAAGTCACAAAGTCAGGCCACACCACAGCTTATTATTGCACAGATCACATCTTCTGAACAACAGCATTTTTCCTTCATGTCCTCTCCAAGACTTTGCTTTCTTCTGTGGCATGGCTGCTGAAAGGCTCCCTAGTCTCCTCTGTCCTCTGAGAGCATCTCTCTTTAATGTTTAATCTCTCATTAAGTTCTCTTTCCAAGAGACTAAATTCTACTGGGAGAGTATCTATCTATCTATCTATCTATCTATCTATCTATCTATCTATCTATCTATCTATCATCTATCTATCATCTATCTTATCTATCTATCTATCTATCTATCATCTATCTTCTAACTCTCCCTATTATCTATCTATCTATCTATCTATCTATCTATCTATCTATCTATCTATCAATCATCTATCTTCTAACTCTCCCTATTATCTATCTATCTATCTATCTATCTATCTATCTATCTATCTATCTATCTTCTTTCCAGAAACTTCCTAGTAACTACAGACTCTCTCTTAGGACTCTCTCATCTTGGTTTCTGGCGACACACTTTCATAAATAACACCCACAGTGCTTTTCACTCTGTGATTCAAGAAGGATCCTTGTGAGGAGAAACACCACTTGGTTTTGGGGTGTACATGTCTTACAGGCAATAGAGGACTTCTTTTTGAAGTTGGAGATTCTGTGGAGGATGTAGAGCTGACCAAAGCCACCCCAGGGTACAGGTGGCAGATAGTCCCCAATGCCAGTTCTCCATCTGGATTTTGGTCAAAGGAAGGGCGACCTTTCAGGTATGTTGCAGCTAAAGTGGGAATCCATATCAAAAGTCTTCCGACTAACTCAGGCAAGCTAGGACACAGGGAATTGTGCAGTGATATTTCTAGGGGATCATTTGTCACATGAGCCAGTAACAACTGGGGTGTTTTGACAGTGTTCTCAGCTGGTGTTGGTCATTCTAGTGTTCATAAGACCTTTTGTAGCTCTACAGTCAAATATGGACCAATGTGTAAAACCCATATTTCCTGTAGCTCTAAATCTGCTTTGGAGATAAGTGGTCTTCTCAGTCAAGCCTCCACATCGTCCTGTGCTGTGGCCATGACCTCCTGAGAATTATAAATTGCAAAGGGATTTGTGGATGTATAGAGGCTGACAAACTGAGACTGTGCAGGTGTGATTGCTTTCTCTAGTCTCATCAGAATAATCATATGGTTTAAGTGTCAGTTTTTTTGCTTGTCATTTCTATAATGAGCAAACACAAGGACTTCTGTATGTTGGCTCAGTGGCCCTGGCCTTGTTTGCTCTCACCTGACTCTCTGTTTCTCTGTGTTCCAGAGCACGGCTCAGCGGGTTCTTTGTGGCTCCAGAGACAAACAATTACACCTTCTGGATCCAGGCAGATAGCCCAGCTTCCTTGTATTTCAGTTTCTCAGAGGAGCCAAGGACTAAGGTACTCGCCCTCCTCTGGGTGGCCTTTCCTTTGTTCATGGCCCTTTGCCCTTGAAAGAAGAAAGGATCAGAGAGAAAGATTTTCTGTTCTATAGTTGTAAGACACCACTGAAAAGCAATTTGGAGGACTATAATAGTATTGTGAGCCTAGCATTATGCTACAGTTTACAACCTCGCTTATTATTTTTATCTCTGTGAAATATGCACAATTCCACTCTGCGTTGAAGGATTGTATGGCCTGTTTGGGACCACTTGAATAATAAGAGAAGTATCCACCAATCAAAATCCGATTGGTTTGACTCTCTAATTCAACCTGTGCCTTTTCCACTATATTTGGGTTAACATCATGTAGGAAGCTTCCCCCCACCCCCCAGCCTTGTACTGTTGCCCGAGGTTTCTGTCCCACCCAGTCCCACAGCCATTCAGTCCCAAAGACACACATAGAGGCTTATGTTAACTATAAACTGGTTGGCCTATTAGCTCAGTCTTCTTATTAACTCGTATAACTTACATTAACCCATAATTCTTGTCTGTGTTAACCACGTGGCTTGGTAGCTTTTATCAGCGAGGCCTTCTCATCTTGCTTCTTCTATGTCTGGATGAGGACTGCAGATTGAGCCTTTTCTCTCCCCAGAATTCTTCGGTTCTGGATGTCCCACTTATACTTCCTGCTTGGCTACTGGCCAATCAGCAGTTTATTAAAGCAATACAAGTGACAAGTCTTTACAGGATACAAGACCATTGTCCCACAGCATTGTACTTTTAGAAATCAGCCAACATCCACTTGTGCCTTTGACAAAGACTCATGATGCTCTTAGTATGCTCTCAGAAATCCATTTGCTGGTTGGAGAAAGACACGGGTTTTGATGAGCTGGGGCCATTCTAGGTCTTTCACGCATTTAATGTTATCTTTCCACCGCATCACACAGACATAGGGTGTGAGGGCAGGGGCTGCTCCTAAACACATAGCCACAGGGCCAAAGTCAATGGGCTAAGTTGTAGGAAAAGTGCGGACCACTTGAAAATGTAACGTTGGTAGGTTTTGAAATGCTCATTGTCTGAGAACAAAGATGCATGGGAAATTCACAGTGCTGAACGTGACTGGCTATTCGGGCACAGGTAGATGTGGCCTCTGTTGGAGTTGGCACTGCTGATTGGTTCGACTCTTGGGAGCGGAACTGGAATGAAGGAAACTGGCAACAGAAGACGACTAAGCTTGAACTACGGGGTGGTGCCAAGTACTACTTGGAAGCAGAGCAGCTTGGGATCGCCCCCAGCAGGGGGATGAGAATTGGGGTCCAGATCCACAACACCTGGCTGAATCCTGATGTGGTCAACACATACCTTCTGGAGAAACACCAGATCCGAGCCCGAGCCCAGAGACTTCCAGAAATACAGGTCTGTGTGCCATGAAAATAAGCCATGGGTAGAGAGGAGTCTCCCTCAGTAGAAGGGCAGCTGGCTGAGAGTAAGAAAGCCTGAGATGCATTTACATACACAGGATATAGGGTCATAAATTTTAAAATTATTTTCTTGTTTTTATTTTTTAAACATTTTTGTTTATGTGTTTATATTGATTTCTGAAATATTTAAATTCTTGGTAAGTCTTTAAAATTTTTTAGATTTATTTTATGTATGATTATTTTGCCTGAATATATATGTCTGTTTACCATATGTGTGCTTGGTGTCTGTGTAGGACAGAAGAGGGTGTGGGTTTCCCTGGAACTGGAGACTGAAGTTATAGACAGTTGTGAACCACTACATGGGTGATTGGGATGGGACCCAGGTCCTCTAAATGAGTAGCCAGTGCTTAACTTTCCAGTCTCAGGTCTTTTCTTTGTTGAGAACTTATTCCTCCAAGTACAGATAAGGTCATTTACAAACACACGCGCGCGCGCGCGCACACACACACACACACACACACACACACACACACACACTCCACCATAGCTTTTTGACCCGTTCTGAGCTTACTCACCGATGTGTTGTGTTTATATGTCTAATCTGTCAATATGTGCTCCACGTCTTTGCTGAGAAACTTCCATATACTTTCTGTTGTCTCTTTTTCTATGCAGAGGCAATCAATGTAGACCCCACTTTCTACAGCTTCTAGTTTAATAGTGACATGGACATAAAGACCCACTGAGAAAAGTAGAGAAGTGTGAGTGATTCATGAGTCCCATCTCAGGACAAAAGCATGATGTGCTCAGTCGAGGACATCTGCTGGGAGCGGAGTAGACATGGAATGAGTCCCCGTGCCATGTGCTGGCTTCTGCCTCTCAGGCCTCTCATTCGAGGCAGCATTTTGAGGGAAGGTCCAAAAATGAGATGTGCTGTGGCCGCCTTTACATCACATCCTCTCGAAAGTGTGGTGTGCCTTGGCTCCTTTACATTATGTACTATTGGAAAAGCAACACAAATAAGTAGAAAATCCCTCATTCATGTCATTCCAAAAAAAGCTTCATTTGTTGGTGACACTGTTTTCCAGAGGTTTCTACATCATGTATATTTAGAAATCTGAAACTAATAAAATGGAAACAGCATGTGGAGGAGCTGTGCTCTGTTCCTAGTCAAACCCTCTGACTCTGGACCCTGCACATCAGTGAATTTTGTCTCTCAACTTTTCAGATGTTGAATGTGTCAGCTACAGGAAGCTTTTTTCTTGCTTGGAACAATGTGTCTAGCCAGCCAGTTCCTGCCAATGCTACAGCCCAACAGGTGAGAGTCTCCTTCCAATAACAAAGGTGAGCATGGGAGTTTAAGGCCTGACTTTTGAAAGACTGCCCTTTTATTCATTTTAATAGATCCAAACCACCATTGAGGAGCTGCTTGCAGTAAAATGCCATCTGGAACCCGTTTCAGCTCACATATTGCTCCGACTTGGATTTGAGCAAGGTGTCTCCTGGGTTGACCAGCTCTGGTCCTTTTATCTATCACTGTTTTCCTCTTCTTTCTTACTTTTTAAAAAATATTTATTTATTTATTATTTATACAATATTCTGTCTGTGTGTATGCCTGAAGGCCAGAAGAGGGCGTCAGACCTTTTTACAGATGGTTGTGAGCCACCATGTGGTTGCTGGGAATTGAACTCAGGACCTTTGGAAGAGCAGGCAATGCTCTTAACCATCAAGCCATCTCTCCAGCCCCCCTCTTCTTTCTTAAAACATAGGAACAATCCCTGTTTCCTGCCCAGATTGTTAGTAGAGTCAGATAGAAGCAGGATCCTGGGTCTGGATGGAGTGACCACTAGAGTAGCTGTGCATGCAGGAGGAAATGGTTGGGATACATGTCAGTCTAAAGCAGTCTTCTGGGTAGTTCAGTGGAGAGAAACACTGTCCAGAGAGTTTCTTCTAAACGTAGAGAGTAGACATGGCAATGGTAACTTTGAAAAAAATCTTGTTTAGTTCAAAATGAAAATTCCTATCAATGGTTTGTTGTGTGTGTGCTGATGGAGGTCAAGCAGCAAAGCATTGCAGATGCCCCACAGGAATTCTTCAGCCAAGTCATACTAATGTCCTTTTAATTAAAAAAAATTGAGACAAGTTCTCACTAAGTTGTTCATATTAGCTTTGAACTTGTGACCCTCCTGTCCCTGATTCCCGAGTAGCTGGGACTGCAAGCATGCACCACCACTTCTAGCTCATACAAGAGAATTAGTATAAAATAATGTAGGCAAGGAATTCTTTTTTCTTCTTTTATTTATCCCTTTGTTTTTACATCTTAACAAAACTTTTCTCTTCTTCCCTCTTCCCAATTCCTCACCCCATTTCCCCTCTACTCCCACCAACCACTCTTCCTCCACTGTTTCTTTTTAGATATAGGCAAGTCTTCCACGGATATCAGCTAGCCAAGGTATATCAAGTTGAAGAAATTCTTAAACTCTGCTAATGTGCTTTATTGCCCTCCCCAGTTAATGGACAACACATTCTGAAACTATTCTTGAAGTGAACTAAAGTCTTATTGAGGGGCTAGGGAAATGGTTAAGAGTATTCACTACTCCTGCGCAGGACTCAGGCTCAGTTCCCAGCACCCATCCCAGTTCCAGGTGATCTGATACTCCCCTTTGATGGACACCCATTGTCTCCCACATGCCCACGGTGCACTCCATACACTCAGGCACACATACACATAAAATAAGAAAATAAAGCATTCCTTTTTCCATTGACCTTCCTTCTCTTTTGCTTCTCACTATTTTTTCCTGGCACATAGAGAAAATGGTATTATGTTCTTTAGTAGCCAGAAAGGAGTTCTCATAGCTAGAGCCTTCCAATTGGAGGGTGCTAGACCTCTGGGCTCTTCCCATCTCTCCATAGGCTGAGAGGCCGATGTCACTGTTTTTATTTTGTACACATACTATCTTGTTGCATAGCTAGGTCTATGTTCCTATTTATTTGGATTATATACAGGCCTGGAAGGTTCCAGCTCTGATGGGGTCCTCACCAGTTCAACTGAGCCCTTCTGTGGCAGATTCAGCCTCGGTCAACTTCGACACCTTATCCTTTACCCCTCAGCTGATAAAAATGGCTATCAGCTGGATCAGTACCCATATGTGAGTATCTATCTTCATGCTTCCGGGCTTGGCACGTTGGGAGGAGCTGGCATTATTTTCTGGATTTGACACTAAAATGACAGAAACACAAGGAAATGATGTAATTTGCCCGGTGCATTTTGAGCTGAAATTTGACATTTCTTAGCAGCTTCTCTGGGCCCCTACTTGTAACCTAAGAATGTTACTGTTAGCAAGAAGACCTATGGACATTTTTATTTATTTAAATATTTTATTTGCTCTTTACTCTTGAGAAATAGTGCAAATCTTGCAGACAGACTCTGGTTTTGAACACTGATTCACATCTGTGTGTTCTTAATATTTTACTTAAGTATGACATGTCTTAATTGTCTCATCTCTGAAACAGTTAATGTGGCCCAGTGCTCAGGAATAGGGTGAAGGTTAATATAGTAAGATGTTTTGCATCAGTGAGGACCCAGCTGTGGGTAGTTACTATTATCATTATTGCAACAATGTAAATAATCAATGGATCAGCTGATATACCCACTCCCCTTGCATTTACTTAATTTTTAAAGAATTTTATACATGAGTACTGCATTTCCATAAATGTCACCCTCCCCTTTCCCCTTCCAACTCTTGTGTTCCCCTATTTCCTCTCAAATTCATATTATATTCCTTTAACTATAACACACACACACACACACACACACACACACACACACACACCCTGGAGATTAGAACAGAAGGAGGGCTAGTGCAGATTAAATGACTCACTGAAGGCCCACAGAGGCCTGGGTTAAAGCAGGCATTTTATAACTGACATACTTTAAAATCCTTATTGCTGAACACAGTGCTTAGACGTTGAAAAGTCTCACTTTGAATACCATTTCCATTTGGCCTCAGAGAAAGCAGTTACTGTGTTATTTCCTGATTTGGCTTAAGGAGTAAAGAATAATGCTCTGTGCTTCCGGCTAGACTGAAAGCCTGAGGAAGGCAGGACCTAGATTCATGTACAGCGTGCAGCAAGATCTGCAGAGGCAGACTCTTGTCACACGGTGTCTGAATCGCAGCTTCTGGCAGTGTTGAACTGAAGGGCATATTTGGTATCCACAGCTGTGCACTGCATACAGAAGCCACATGAACAGGACCCTGACGATGACTGTTTCTTTTGTATTTGGCTTCCAAAATGTCACAAAGAATACCACTTGCGACTGGAGTCTCACGGAACCTCACCCTGAGAGGTAGCAATGGTGGGGAGGTGTGGGTGGATTCTGCCTATTTGGTGGGGGGGGGGGCGAGGATTGCTGTCTTAGAGACTGTGGCCCACAGAGATACTGAGTATTTCATTTGGGTGTCAGATTCTAACTTGAGACTTTGAAATTTTTTGACCTGACAAAGCAGTTTTGACAAGAGATATGGTTATGAGTATAAAGGAACCCGGCAGGACACTGGCATCATATTAGGGACAGAACTTTTAAGATGAGGAGAACTGAAACTCAGAGACTCTGCACTTCACTGAAGTGCATTCAGCAAGTGGTTCTGTAATAAATTGAAGATACCCTGGTCCATTGATTCTGTTCCCTGTCCAGACATTTCTCATTGCTCTGAAGTTATTTTAAAGCTCAATGAGTCGGTGATACGGGAATACCCAGGATGATTAGAGACTGGCATGTACTCTATCTATTCAAGATGCAAAATTGCATTGTTATTTGAAAGTGCTGCTGATACCCAGTGTCACGAATGAATGACTGACTTGAGATGTGACTCACCAGTGTTGTCGATGAAAGTAGTCTGACCCCAGGTGTGAGGGGCTGTCTGGTCCCAGTCTTAAGGAGGAGGCCCGGAGACTTTACCCAGAGGCTCCTCCCGTTCTGCTTTGGCAGCTGGCAGTTCACTTGCATTAACCTCTGGGACACATGTGTTCGTCGCTCTGAGGATCTCCCATCTACTCTGGCAAACACACCACTGCTGGTTCAGCGGATTGACATTCTTCCTGTGGCCCCGAAGGCAGGCCTGCTCTATCTGGATGAAATTATTCTTGCAGATACAAGCATAACAGGTGATTGTCACATCTGCTGTTCTCTTGGGCCTGCTTGTCAAATGCCTGTCTCAAAGTTCCACACTAGATGTTGTTTTTCTTTTCTGAAGGAGAGGATGGATGGCTTTCTCCTGCCTGCCATAGTTTGAAGGCAAATGGGGTTGGCCTTGTGCACATTTCCTTCTATGTCTCTCCAACTAATTGCCCTTCCTTCCTTCCTTCCTTCCTTCCTTCCTTCCTTCCTTCCTTCCTTCTTTCCTTCCTTTTCTTTTTCCCTCCCTCCCTTTCTCCATCCCTCCCTTCCTCCTTCTCTCCCTCTCTTTATCTCTTTTGTTTATCTCACTATTTTATCTTGCCTTTTGTGCTTGTACTATTATGCCCTCGCTTTACTACCGTCTGAATATTTGTTTTTCTCCTCTATAAAGCGATTGTAATAAAGAGCCAGCATCAGCACTGAGCCACTGCTAATCATTTGCTCTGGCACACTTGCAAAATGATGCTGTTCAGACGCACGTTGAGATGACCGACTGAATTTGCTGGTGTCTGAGACAACTGGCCAGGAAACTTTTGTAGTCCCAAGTACCGCCCAGATGTTCAGAGAGCCAAGGCAGCCAGTATTTCACAGACTTAAACATATAGTTTGGGAGACTCTAGACTAGATAACAGGTGCCGCTTCATTTCTCCTCTCTCCATTGCACGCCGTTCTGCTCCTCCATACCCTGGAAACCAAGGACCCAATGTTTTTTCTTGCCACCCTCACTTTTTACTGCAAAGCTCTGTCGACCTAGAATCATCTGGAAGAGAAAGATGACATATGGAGGGACGGGCGGGGACAAGGATGAAGACTGGGAGAGGGGAAGCAGTTGTCTTCCTTTGTCAGTTTGCTCTGCGGACACCAACTCCCCCACCCTGACTTTTAGTTAACGAAAAGATCAACTATGTAAATGAACTCACTCATCATGATTAACAGTATGTATATCTGATCCATATATTATGTACTTATTCTGCTTCACAGTCTGTGGAAGTTCTTTGTGTCTATTATGGTAGCGTTCATTATTTATTAGTATTTTATTGTTATTATTGATGTTTTCATAATCATCATTATCATTATTTCATGTAGTTCTCAAGAGCACCTGAGATGGTCCTGTCGCCTCTATTCTATGTATGGGAAAATCAGGCTAAGAGGGGTTATTCTCAAAGCCTTTCTCTCTCCCAGTGCATACAACTGGGATATGGTGACAGACTGGAACCCAAAGTTTTCTAACACCATCTCTTTAGAGAGCGCATAATCATATTGAGCAACTGCTCTGTGCCAGTGTTGCAGTTAAGAACCGGGCATGCAGGACCAGGCACCATGCCATATGCCTTTAAACTCAACACTGGAGAGGGCGAGACAGGAAGACCTGTGTGAGGTCAAGGATAACCTGGTCTGCATAGTGAGTTCCAGGATATTTAGGGCTACACATGAGACCATGTCTCAAAGCAATAAAGCAAGCAAGCAAGCAAGCAAGCAAGCAAGCAAGCAAGCAAGCAAGCAAGCAAAAACAAACAATAAAAGAAGTAGTCATTCAAAACGAATAAGACAAGGCTATCACTACCCTTGAACTCTTTGTAATCTGCACCGTAAGTAATGTGTTGAGGAAAAGCTGTCTTACCCAGCAGGAAGACAAAAGGATATTGAAATGTTCAGTGGTCATTAAAGTCAGCAGCCTTCCTGAATTACCTACCAGGAAGATTTCCATCCATCCCACATGCTGTGATTGTCACTTTAGACACAAGAAAGCTGAGCATTGCGGAGCTTATGTTGGTTAGCAGAGTGGCTGTCCGAGGAAAGTGGGAAACCCTGGATTTGAACTAACACATTTCTGTACACATATCACTTCACCCTGAATAAGCGCTGTTTGTGATGAGAGCCTAGGCCATTCCTCAGGTGGATGGCGTTCCTAGGGGGGATTTTCTGTGTGTCACTAAGGTTTCCACAGGCTGTGGGAAGGAAGGGGTACCTGTCACCCACACATAGAGTGAAGGGGTGTTACAAGAGGTGTTTGGCTGGTGGGGGCTGGATGATCATTGCTGCGGAGTTTATCCTCATGTCCGTACACTGCTGCATTTTCCTCCTGGTAATCAGTTGAATGTTGTCCTCCTGTGCCCTTCTTCTGGAGCTTTTCCGATGTAGTAGATGGGTAGGCATCTAGATTTCATGTGTGCACGGAGAACTCTGTGACTCATCATCTTCAGCCAGAATCTTCCGCTTTACAAGCCTCCATCTTGAGTTATTTGGTACTAATTGGATCATTGGTCTCTAGTTTCTCAAGCTAATCCTGCAACAGCCCGCCCAGGTGGGAACCTGGTGGAGTCAGTCTCGGTGGTGGGATTCTCTCCAGTCTACAGCATAGCATTCTTGTTGGCGGGCTGTGGTTCAGAGCTTCCTCTCATCACTGCACGGTAAGGAAGTAGTTTTCCTACACGGATGTCCTCAGTATCCACAGCTGGCTACGAAGCACACAGGTGCAGCCCTTATGGAGGTGGCGAAACTCCCTGCTGTACTGTTCAGAGCCATGGTCTTATGTCAAGTTATGTTACACCAGACTCAGATGGAGGTTTGGTGTAGAGACAAATGGCTGGGACGTGGTAGTTTGGGGTCTGAAAATTTGAATTTTCTATGACCTAATGGTGCTGACTTAGCTGAGAGCTACATGTAGGAGCCTATTTCTATTTAATTTATTTTTTGATGGTTTGTTATGTTTCTCAGAGTAAACACTGTTTTCCATTTATTCCCCTCATTGCAGTCCCGGCATATTGATCTTGTTGGAATTCCTTCAGTTTAAGGAACAAAAACAGGCATTTCTGAGAACTCACCAGCAGATGGCACTAGAGCACCACAAGCGTGGCTACATAGTTGTGACTTATGTCTAAGGGTAGTTTACAACGCAGTCTCCTTGAAGATCAGCCTCCTTGAAGTCTGAGGACCACATGCATGCTACCCTTTTAAATTTCACTTAAACTTTGCAGGATCAACAGAACTGAAATTCTCTGTCTTGTATGTGCACTGTATATATACATGTTTGTGTATACATATATATCATATACACATGCATACAAAATAGTGCCGTATTGGATGACTCTCAGCTATTAACTACGAAATGATAAAAGCTAGTTTGAGTTACTGTGTACAGTACACTCAGAGGGCTCCTGATGACCTTCCTCTCTGACTTTACATTAACTCCCCGGGCTCCTCTGGAAGCCTGTGACCACGCTGGTAAAGAGGATGGTTCTGTCTAGAACACGCCTTTCAAAGAACACCAATCCCATTCATAATCTAAAGACATCCTCAAAGGTTTAACGTCCTAAAGCCATATCCATGGGACTTGGATTTCAACAAGTGATTTCTGTCTTTGTGAGGGGACACAACTAGTCAGCTCATGGCAGCGATTGGACAGTTCATGCCATAGTTATTTGGGTCATTTGTTTATCAAAAGAAGGGCTGTGCTGGCACTGGGTTTATATATAAGAAGTTAGTGAGGTGGGGTAGATGCTCCAGCAGCAGTGTGCTGGGGAGACACTGAGGGACCAGGGCACATTGACCCGGAGTATGCAAATGAGGCTCTAGACAGCCATCTCTTCTCTGAGCCAGAAATGGGGGTGGCATAATTGCTTGTTGCTCTGGACCCCTGTATTCGCAGGATCAATGTTAATATCATGTTTTTAAGGAACCTTCGATTTATACCACACTGATCCTGCTGTGGTGGGAAAAGGGCATCCAGTAGTTGCGATGTTGACCTCAAAGCATAGAAGCATAGGAGTGAGGCATCTTTGTAAATAGCTGGGTTTTGTCGGCATCACACATTCTAACGACTGTGGTGGCTAACACTTTGCTTTTGATGTGCTGCAGCTATGTGTCCGCTGAGGGGACAGGAGAAGGATCTGAACTGATTGAGGTGACAGCACAGAGACTCCAGAGGACCAGCCCGCCTTTAGGAGGACACTTCTTCCTCCAACTCTTTGATACAGTGATACCTGGTAAGGGGCTACTAGAGTATGGTGGCAGAAGTCACAAAATAATCCCACACTAGTTCAGAATCATGAATAATAAAGGGTTATTTACTTAGGGGAGACTTACAGATCACTGTCCTAGATAACAGTCCTCTGCACAAACGGGGAATAGGAACAGAGTCTAGTATCTGGAAGTGAGAAACAAGGGAGCGAGCACACGCTTTGCAGCTGCATTTATAGTATAAGAAACCATGCCCAAGTGTGCTGTTATCTTAAAGACTCTTGGCTGAAGGTGCGGAATGTGCTCACACGGCAAGGGTACAAAGATTCTCATGTCCATGCTGGGGATACATAAGGTAAACATCAGACTGGGAGTTCCACAGTTAAGGTGACAGGTCCGAAATGACTGTTTTAAGATTACAGACCTGAGAAGGGATGGATTGTTCAATTCCAGCCTTCTCAATTTGTAGATGAGGAAAGTGAGCGAATTGGCTTCCCGAGAATTATCACAACTTGGAGACTTAGAGCTATGGAGGTTTTGTTCTTAGTTCTGGAGTCTGAAGCCCCATGTGAAGGTGTGAGTAGGGCCCCGACTGTCCGTGCCCTAGGGGATAATGTGTTGGCTGTCCTCCTTAGTCCCGGCTGATGCTGCCAATCCTCAAGTGAAGCTGCGATGCTTTACCCTGTGTCTGTGGTCATGGCCTGTTTTTCCTTTGTCTCAAAACCTCCTCTGCCTTGGTCTTGAAGGATCCACAAGAATTTACTGCACGATTCATGATAAACTCTTCCCCTCACATCTTCAACTTGACCATGTCTTCTGTCAACATGAGATAACATTTATTCTTTGGCCTTGCAAAGGGTTAAGAGGACACGGTCACATCGCTTTTTTATTGTGGGGGTTGGGATTCAGCCAGCCACACTGAAGCTTCCCTGAAGTTCTTAAAAATAATCGATGACAGGGTCTAGATGTGAACCTGGGTATTTCAGGTTCAAATTCATCCTCTCTCTGACATTTCCTAGCCCAAAGCTCCTTGTACCCGTGTCTTCAGAGTTAAATGTAGTGGCAATCATTTTGCTATTAAGCATTTAGCAGTCACCCAAGTTTGAGATTATGGACACAATTAGCACAGTGCTTTAAGAGCTTCGATAATATAGACTTTTAACAAAGCACAGAATATGAGAAGAGACAGCAATATTGTTCAATAATCTTATTGATAAATACTGGCAGAAGTGCGTGGCTTCAGAAGCAAGGCTCAGAGGCATTTAGGAAAGCTGTGTGCGTAGGTGATACTTCCCAAATCTTTTTTTTTTTTTCCTGAGAAAGGCTCTTCCTGGGTGAGAGGCACATAGGGGCATTTTGACTATAATGGGATAGCATAGAAAAAGCTGAAGACACCTTGGTTACTGGAGCCTGGTAAATGGGCCAGTGTCCACAGCGCCTTTGTCTCTATGGCATGAACCACCACCAGGCTCTGCTTCTCACAAATGAGAGCTTATCTGCAGAGGTCCTTTCCTGCTATCAGATACAACCTGATGCTTGTCACATTACTGCCGGCAGAGTCACCGAGGGAAGCCAGCCTTAGCCCAACTTTTTGAAATGAGTACAGACCCCCAATTATGTGCAAATGTAGAGCAATGCTTTTTAATTATGGGACCGCTGTTGGCCTTGTGAAACACAGTGGCACTTTATTAACCCTTCAGGGCAGCGTGGCATTCAAGAGGAAGGCTCTGGAGCAGGTGGACGGCAGCCTGAATTTTAATCCAAACCTGCCTCCCTGGCTTGGCAAGCTTTTGAATACCGTTAGGGTTCATTTTCTTCATCCCTCAGGTAGGCATGGAGGTGCCCTAAATGGCCCACCTCGCGGTGCTGTTGGGACCAGCTAATGAAATGGAAACTTTGGGTAAAGTGTGAAGCACAGAGATTTGTTATTTCTCCGTGGGGATGCGGAGCGGGGAAGCAGGTGGCTGGGCTTAGAGGAGATTCTAATAGAGAGAGCAAAGAGAAGTGCCAACATTCCTCAGCTGTGTTGCCTACGTTTTATGGGTGTCAGCTGCTATACGCCGCCCCTACTCCCTGTGAAAGGTGGCCAAGATTTCTCTGTTCACAGGACCAGCTAAAATTTTCCAAGAAAAAGCCAACATTTAATTAGACTTTCAGCCATCACAAAGGTGTCTGGAGCGTGTGTGTTCAGTTGATAGCTGAGACTGTCTTGTCTGACATAGCACAGTCACTGTTTGCCATGTGATAAATGACACTGAAGGAAGCATCTCAGTGTAAAAAAATAGGCGTCTACTTCTGGGGAAAAAACATGATCTTAAGTCGGGTAAAGGTTCTCTTGTGATATATTTTGATTCTGAAAGTTTAGCGTGATCCTGGTGTTTATTTTCTTCTATCCACTGACATCATGTTTTCTGCAAACTCTTGGCTCACAGATGTGCCGGTGCACATGTCTTCCAGACAGCTTCACAAGCTATTGCAGGACAATGCTGACGCGTCCACATCTGGATACCTCAATGTCAGTGACATCACTGTGACTAAGGAGCTAAACTCCTGCTATGAACATGTCTGGACTCTTTCTTGGACTACTCAGATTGGGGATTTGCCCAATTTTATCAGGGTAGGTATAATCAAACATTTTGTGGTATAGATTTGATGGAGAAATTTTGTAAAGAAATATAGGATTATATGAATAAAAATGGATATAGATTATTATTATTATTGTTATTTGTTGCCATATTATAGCAAAGGGGTTTTATATCTTTCATCAGAAAGTTTCAACCTGAATTTTACATCTCAGATATCATCGTATTAAACCCAGTGCTTCCTTCCCTAATTTAAGGCAGAGGGAGGAGCTGCTGGTCAGTGTCCACCACATAGTTTTCCACAGCTGTTTGTGGAGAATTCAAACAGATGTGATCGACTTGATCATCATGAGGCAGATGGCATGGCATAAGGGAATTTAGAAAAGGATTTTCTGTCTTTGGATAATGACAAAAGCAGATGCTCTTGCATATGTAGTGTTTTAAAAAATAATCGAATGATCATCAAGCACTTGCTTATTATAAAATGAAGCCCGAGATGAAATTTTATCCAAGCTTTATGGCACTGTCAGATAAGTGGTTTCTCAAGTGAAATCCTGGAGTGAGATGGAGGAAGAATGAAAATGTTTGTGCTGATCTCAAAGTACTATGTTCTTACATTTTATTTTAATATTTAGATTACAGCTAATATAAAAAGAGGCACATAGAAGCAAAATATCTCAAAACTTAAATTATTCTTATTTGAGTGTGTGTGCTTCTGCTTGACAACTCCTCTCACAAACAGGTAGCCCATGTTTACCTTTTATTAGCAACTTTTTATTTATTTTAACTATTAGGTTTCTAGACAAATTTTCTCTGTGTAACAGCCCTAGGTGTCCTGGAACTAACTCTTAGACTAAAATTGTTTATCAATTCAAGCTATGAGAGTATTTCAAACAGAATGTGGAATAAAAACTCATTTGTTTCCCTCAAGATGAGATTTTTTTTCCATGAAAGAATTGATCAGAAATGTAACTATCTCAGGTCTCAGATCAAAATCTCACTGGAGTGAATCCTGTTGTAATTGCTCTTGTGGTATATGATGGTGGAGTTTTCCTTGGACCCATCTTCGGAGACATGTTGGCAACTGCCAACCAGCAAACTCAGGTGAGAGTGTTGGGCCACTAGCACCAAGCATATTTCAAATTCTTCGCTTGTTTGCACTGAAAGCCAAATGGTTCAACTTCTGTGACTCATTTTTTTTTTCATTTGGATTGCTTCCACAGTGTTTCCAAAGTACTATGAAAACGTAATTGCTTTGCAAGCAATTATGGTCTTTATAACTATTGATGCTATTATTGTACAAAAACAGAGGGCCCATATAGCTAAATACGTATAACTAATTATTAATTATTCAAACTGAGAATGATTAAATATAATTATTATTATTTTTAAAATTTATTATTATTTATTATTGTTGTTGTTGTTGTATGTGTATGATGTGTGTGCAGGTTGGGGTAGGAGAGCATATGACTGGGCATGCATGTGGAAGCCAGAGGATAACTTTATGGAGTTGGTTCTTTTCTTTCATTTTACGTGGGTTCCAGGGATTGAACTTAGGTCATCAGGGTTGGGTGGCAAGTGCCTTAATCAGTTGAGCCATCTTGCTGTGCCCGATCCTTATTTTTATCTTTTGAAAATAAATCATTACAAATAAGACTGAAGGGCTCTTTGTCACCCATGCCGTTCAAGTATGCCCTTCCTCTTACAGAGAACTTACATGATGTGGCTGCGCCTCTAGCCCACTTAAAAAAATCCTACAGAATTGATCAAGTCGATCAAGTCGTATCTTTTATCCTCCCTCCCCAATTTTAAACATTATTTGAGGTAGCATTCCAACTGAGTTAGTATTCATTTAGTTTTACAGGAAAGGAGAGCTGTAGAGTCTGAACTTATCATCTAGGACAGAAACAACTTCAGACCAAATGTAGAAATACACTTTGGTCTGCAAGGAAGGCAGAAGAACAGTGCCTAATAGTTTGTACTAGCGGGGGGGAAAGGTTGTTTTCATGATGTGCAGGCCTAGGAACAAAAATATCCAAGTTCATGAATTTACTTACCAGATGAAAGAGGACACATTTGAAAAACAATTTATCCTATTCAGTCATGTACAATATAGGTGTCTGGAAGAGTCACAGAGCCTCGAAGTTCAAGGCGAGACCAGGAATCCCAAAAAGGACACTATTTCAGAAAGCCGTATATTAATATATTTATTTGCACAAATGGATCTCAGCATTTCCACAACTTTGAGAAAGTATAATATGTTTTGAGCCATTCATTTTTGTATAAGAACTTTGGTTGAGAAAATAGAAAAGAGGAAATGAGAATGTATGAATCATAAAGACATTTTAATTTAGGAAATGCTCACAAGTCCTTTGCGACTGCCCTTGTGTTCCTTAAGTCCATACATTTTCTCTTAATTCTCTCACCTCCCTCCCTCAGGTGGCTGTGCACGTGAATGACGTTCCAGCCCATTGTTCAGGCTCCTGCTCTTTCCAGTACCTGCAAGAGTCAACTCCCAGTGTGGATTATGTGTGGCATTCCCCTGGTAGGCTCTAGATATGAATCTTAGAATCAGTGATTTTTAGCAGAGGCCATGTAGAGGGTAGGAGCATCATCATTTTCAGGAGATGTGGATGCAATGGAAGATGCATGTTTGGTCCATTCAGGGATGTCATTTCTTATTTAAATATATGTGTGTGATTATTATTAGTCCTTCAGTCTGAACTTCCTTTATATTATTATTGGGTGATTTACTTGTATGAAGTTATGGCATTTCATTGCTAGTCTGAGGAGGTTGAAGGTGGGGACTGTAGACAGAATAATGAATGCAGTTGTCTCAGCCATTAGTCCACTCCTCCAGTTTTGGGAGAGGAAGCTGAAAGAGAGCAAGCATCTGGTGTTGGAGTGAGAGCTCTCGAATGGAGTGTCAACACTGATTTGACGTATGAATTCCCCTGCCCGCCTCTTTTAGGATGTGACGTCAACCTACTGGTTTATTTGACTGGAACTGGTTTCCCTAGAGATGCCCAGTCCTTGCAGGTTACAGTGAACCAAACAAGATGTGAAGTTATTTTCTCAAATGAAACAAATGTGGTCTGTGAGCTGGACCTGCTACCAGTTGGAGTGCATCCGATTTTGATGCTGGTGAGACCTTCAGGGCTTGCTGTTAATGCCAGTGGAGAAAGCCTCTTCCTGTATGTGGAACCCAGGCTGGATGCTGTGGAGCCTGCTACGGTTGCAGAGATAGGTAATGTGGGCGGGCCTCCGCTGTGTACCTGTTCTCTGAAGTGACAGTTCTTGTTCATATGCACAAATCTCGGCCCAAAGCATGATACATTCTATACTTATTAAGATTCATAGCTTTTTGTTTCCTAGACATTTCTTCAAGTAAAGCTTCTTTTAAGCTCTGAAATGGACTTGCCTGGCACATTAAGATGAGATGAGAATTTGGCTGATGGTGTGACACACTAGACCATGGAGTCACTTGGATGGTCATTCATCTGAAAAACTTCAAGATGCTAAATGAGACATTGCTAGTACTAGGGAAAATGTGTCTTGCTTGAGGCTTCATAAGGAAGGGGTGGAGCCAAGGCACAAAAGAGAGTGCTGGGTGTGTCAGCATTTAACAGGTTCTCTGTGCTAGGCTGCCTTGCCTTTAGAAGCCTGAGGATGCCTCATTTGTAGCTTGCCTAGCTTTCTTCGAGAGTAAACAGGTCAATAGATGGCAACACTCATGTTGAATATCCGTGTTTGGCAAGTATGCCCACTCACTAGGAACGTTTTACGTAGTTTTTATTTTACAACCTTCTCTAGTATTCTTGGAAACTTGGCTAGTATTCAAAGCCAACTACTGTTTGCATAGTTCAAGTCTAGAGAATAGTGGGTCTTGTCAACATCAGAACCAAGGATTGGATTTCAGGTCCATAGGAGAGTAGAGATCTTTCCAAGAATTGTTACTTTCTGAAGGACTCTATAGTTTAGGGAAAACTCCAGCTGGATTATAACAGGTTCAAAAATACCCAGACTCAGTTTGCTAATGTATTAACATTGTAGAATGCAATGCACAGTTCCTTTTCTTGGTGATTTGTATTTTGTCATTGTTGATTCTGGTGGCCAGAAGCCTGTAGCTCAGAATACAGTTTAAAGTGGTATGCTCTAGACAGAACCATTGCTCAAAGGACATGTTTGCTTCTAATTCTGTTTTGCCTTGGGTGAGTGAATCAGCAGGCCTACCCCTTCTCAGGTCCACACAAAATAGCAAAGTCTTTTCATTGATGTCAGGAGGGAGCAACAATACATGTTTTACTCAGAGCGAAAGACCATATTCCTCATTATCCCATGAAGTATTGCCTTGAGTTTAGGGTTTTTTGCATCCTTCTGACTAGATTTGTTAGAGGTTTGATCTTACAGAGTTACTTTCCCAGCTCAGGTCGCACTGCTAGATAGCAGACTTCTTTCAGGCAAGCAGGAGGCTCAGTAAGCTACTTGCCCTATGTAGAGTAATTTGCACTTCTTAGTTTGGAGTTGACAGCGCTCTCAGAATGCAAGACTTATGGTTTTAAAACAAGAATGATGAACACTCAGTGTAAAAACCCAGTTCCAGGAGGACTGAAAAGTTATGAACATCCCTGTCAGGAAGCGTATCATATGTAAACAGTGAAGACTTGAAGGGCTTGGAGCATCATCCATTGTCCTCCTACATTTTAGCAAAAGGCACGATGCTCTAAGAAGGGATGATTTCAGATGTTTATCAAGTAACTTTTTAAGGCTGAAAGGTGGGATCTGAGAGAGGTTCTTGCTGTTGCTTTCTTCGTTATTGCATTAGGCTTTCCCAGTGAACCCATCTCCTGGTCCTGTCACCTATACAGTGTCCATAAATGCTCATCACTCCCTGTACACAGTACCATGCTGGGTGCTGGTGACCTTAGTGCTTCAAGTGTGGCCCTGGGCAAGCAGTATCTTTATCAACCGGGAGCTTGTTAGAAGTGCGGTCTTCTGGACCTCCGGTGTCAATCTGTATTTTAATAGAATCCTCAACGTCTTTATGAATAGTCTAGTGTGTGAAACCCTGCTTTAGGGATTTAAAGAGAACCAGGCAAGGCCTGTTAAAAAGAAATTTAAATAAGAGCAGAGTACAGAATGAATAAATATAAAAATGAGATCTGTAATACTCAAAGTCATCACTTATCCCTTCTCAAGCATTCTCAAAAGAAATGTTTGAGGACAATCTTGACTTTTCTTACACACCATTAATTCACTTTTGGGCTAAGATAGAGTTGCCTTCTTAGGCAGTGAATCCTTGTGAAGCACACATTTTCAAATGAAAATGGTGAAATCTTACCACCGCTATGATTTCTCACAACCACCATTGACAAAATCATAATGAGAATTTATTTAGCTTTCATTATGCATCAATACTCAATGCTGTGATACTGTAAATAAAAATAAATATTAAATTAAAAATAAAATTATGATCTTGGATAGGTAGTAGTAAAGATGTAGAGCAAAAATATTAAGGGGAGGGAGTGAAGCGGGAAGGAGGACTTTGTTGGGCTAGGGGGCTCATTAGCATTTGCTAGAGGAATTTCTGGGCCACGGGTTTAAATACACTTAAAAATTTAACATATATTCCTGGAGAGATTTCTCAGTGTTAAAGTGCTTGCTATGCATAATTTGGACCCCAGGAAGCCCATGCAAATATCAGATGAGCAAGTGTCCTGTATATGACTCCAACCAGAAGACAGAAATTGGATTGGTAGAGCAAGCTGGCTAATAAAGCTAGCTTATCAATGAGCTCTGAGCTTTATTGGGAGACCTTGCTTCAGTAAATAAGGTGAAAGAGCTAAGGAAAGGAAAATGACTCTTGACATCAATCTCTGGACTCCACATGTCTGTGCACATACATGTATCTGTACCCACATGCATGAACATTTGTATCCACTCATGCACACCACATTCATGCATGAAAAATTGGAATTAAAATATAATAGTGGTAAGTATAAAAAATAGTCGTTAAAGTTTCTACAATTTTTTACATATAGGTATGAATATCTATTGCCTACATCTTACTAATATATTTTTTAATTTTTTGATGTTTAATATCTTATAGATGAAAAATAATTCAGTATTGTTTTAAGTCATATTTATTTTAAGAGATATTGAATTTCCATGGCTTAGAAGATGTTATAGCTTCCTTTCTGGGAAGTTTGTTCATCTCAATCTTTCTTTCCAAATTTGATTATTGTTCTTTTTTGATATTAAGAACTTGAAAATATTTAATGTATTTGACTATTTTTTGTATTTCTATGATTAATAAATAATTTTGTGTAGTAAAATGTGTTTGACCTTTATATCTTTAGAGATTGTAAAACACTCAGAGTGGGCTTCTCTGAAGTTGTGTGAAAATAAGATTTTAGGTTTCCTTCCATTCTTTCCCCATTTTCTCTCTTTATGTCCAAATATTTTATTTGAAATTTGCTTTGGGTAAAAAATGGGAGTCAAGAATTCAGGTTTTATCTTTATTCATGCTATTCTCTTATTTTATTTACTCAATAAATAATCTATGTTTTGCTGGAGTGAAGCCACATACCCTTCATGCCCTGTAGACTTGCTTCTGGAAGTTGACTTCCAGGCTGCTCATTCTGTCTGCTCGATCTAAGCATGTGCTATTTCCCATTTTTATCCTGTTGGATTTCAAACAGGTTTTGTGTGTGTGTGTGTGTCTGTATGTGTGTGTGTGTTTTCAGAACACCTCTTTACTCTTATTTCTGAATTATTATTTTCTGGTTTTTCTTGTTCACTTTTACCTGAACTTTACAGTCCTCATCTTGTCTAATTTATACAAACATCCCACTAATTTTATTGGAGTCATATCTATGCCTTTATGTTTAATTCAGAGAAATGATACTTATTCTTTTGACCAATTTATGCTAACTTTTTTCAGTTTTAATTTAATCCATCCGTTAAGGCCTTCAGCGGCATTTTAAAATTTCCCTCAATGTTTTTTTGTCAAGTTTATTTATAGATGCTGTATCCTTACTGTGTTGCTTTCGTATATTGACCTTTCCTCCCACTTCTTTCTCTACCTTAGAAGTCTCAGGTAGTCTTGCTCTGACTCTTCAGAGCAAGCTACCCACTGAACTTCAGGTGTTAGTTCACTAAGTCGCACCAGTCCCAAAGGTTTTGGTTGTGTTGTGGAAGTTCCCTCTCTTTGTTTTGCTTCCCTCTTGCCTTTGCAGCCCCACATAATCTCAGGAGACCTGAGTTTCTATTTGATGTCTTTTCCCACTCTCTTCCTGCAGAGCAGACTTATTCTTCTCATCAACAATGACTGCGTTTCTAGCCATATATGATAGTGTATGTCTATAGTCCCAGGTACATGGGAGACTGAGGCAAGGAACCATTTGAGCCCAAAAATTCAAGCATCATAGAAAGGCTCCATAGCAAAGCAAAGAACCTGAAACAAGCCTCCCCCACCAGATGAGGACAAACAAAAAAAGCGAGCTTTTTATTTAGCATTAGCTAAACTAGGGAAGTGTGCTGTGATGTTGGGAGGGCCATATCACTGTTCTGGCCTATAGATAGGACATGGTGGCCTTTGTGGCTAACTGGTAGTAGCCTGCAGAGAATTCCTGATGGCAGAGGCAGACAATATTCGTCATTATGTCCTGCTATGGTGACTAAAATCTGCTTTGTGTGGTATTGGCTCTCCAGGTTGGAAAGGCTATTCTTGAAGGAAAATGAAAACGAGGACAGCTGAGCTTAGGGCCAATGCTAAAAATGATCTCCAGGCCCTGGCTCTGCCCTCTTGCTATTTCTACCGTCATGCTCTCACTCGTTGCTTCTTGGGAACGAATACGCTTTACGGAATGGGCAAGAATGATATTTAGAATTTAGGTCAGACAATGTTTGCAGATACTACCTGCTTCTTTGACTCCTGGCTATATCCTTATATTTTATTCATAAAGGTCTCCACAATGCCTCGCTACTCTCTCCGTCCTCTGGTCACCATTTCTTCCTCTCTGTGTTTCTACACTTCAATTCAGTCTTTTCCTGCAGTTTGAGCATTGCCTTGTGTCTTGACTAAAGAGTTTCCTATTTCAACTTCATTTTAATTTTTCCTGTAATTACCTTCGATCTGCCTACACGGTTATATACGTGTAAAGGTGCTGCTTTCATTACAGGAGGACTGTGGGTTACCATCCGAGGTTGCCATTTGAAAGGTACAAGTCTGGTGCTCTTTGGAACTCAGTCGTGTGCCATTGATGCCATTAGCAGCAATTCACAACAAATTCGGTGCAAAGTCCCACCCAGGGTAAGGAGATACCTTGTTGTCCTGTGCGAATTTTATCACATCCCTTGTGCAAACTAAAGTAACTAATCTGAGCTTTTTTCCACGATAACAATGTGCTAGTTTTTTCTATTGTATGTTTTGCTATTAAAAAAAAAGATAAAACCCTGTGCTTGTGTTGTGATTAATTTCAGTTAATTCCTTATGTAATAATGCAACTCAAGCATCCTAATTGGTGATCCCCTTCGAGTCCTGCTTAGTTGGTTCTGTGGGCCATGTTCTCCTGGTGTCCTTGATCCCTCTGATTCTTATAATCCTTCCTTCTCCTCTCCTGTGGAGGTTTCCCTGGCTCCACCTAGTGTTTGACTGAGTGTCTTTGCTTGTGGGTGGATGTTAACTCTCTGATGACAATTGGACTAGGCACCAATCTATGAGTAAAGTAATCATTTCATTGAATTTTTTACAAGTCTTGTTTGGCTGTTTGATTCTATCCTGAGTCTCTGCACTGCCCACCCTCTATGTAGTGTCAGGCATTAGTTCCCTCTGGTGTGGGTCTCAAGTTGGACCAGTTATTATGGTTTCTGCTGTTTCTGAGATTATTTATTTTATTTTTCCAAGGTTATAGTTTACCTTCTTGGGTTGGAGTTTTTCTTCTCGTAACCATTGTAGGGCTGGATTTGTGGACAGATATTGTTTTTATCATGGAATATATTTTGTTCATCCATGGTGATAGAAGGTTTGGCTGGATACAGTGGTCTGGGTCTGTGGTCTCTTAGAGTCTGAATAACATCTATCTGTCCAGGTCCTTTTGGCTTTTAGAGTCTCCACTGAGAAGTCAGGTGCCATTCTAATAGGTCTGCCTTTAATATGCTCCTTTTACCCTTGCTTCTTTTATTATTCTTTTTTAGTTCTGTAGGTTTAGTGTTTTGATTATCATGTGGCAAAGGGGCTTTCTTTTCTGTTTCAATCTATTTGGCTATTCTATAAACTTCTTGTACCTTAGTAGGCATGTCCTTCTTTAGGCTAGGAAATTTATCTTCTATATTTATATTGAAAATATTTTTCTGTGTTTTTGTGATGGGCTTCTTCTCTTTCCTCTATTTCTATTATTCTTAGGTATGGTCTTTTCTTAGTGTTCCAGATTTCCTGGATATTTTTTGTCAAGAATTTTTAGATTTAAGATTTTCTTTGGCCATTGTATCTATTTCTTCTACTGCATCTTCAGTGCCTGAGATTCTCTCTTCTGTCTCTAGTATTCTGTTCGTGATGCATATGTCTGTAGTTTCTGTTCACTTACCTAAATTTTTATTTCCAAAATCTCCTCTGTTTGTGTTTTCTTATTTCTTCTGTTTATATTTTCAGGTCTTGACCAGGTTTTATTCATTTTCTTCAGCTCTTAATTTTTTTCTTGGATTTTTAAAAGGGATTTATTTATTCCTTCCATTTTTTCTTTGTGTTTTCCTTGATTTTTATTAAGGGACTTATCCATTTCCTCTTTAAGAACTTCTATCATCTTCATAAAAAATGTTTTAAGGTTGTTTTCTTATGCTTCAGCTGTGTTGGAATATTCAGGGCTTGCTATAGTAGGATAGCTGGATTCTTACGGTGACATATTGTCTTGGCTGTTGTTGGTTGTGTTCTTGTACTGGTGTCTACGCATCTGGGTTGGGGAGGATTATAGGTCTTGGTGTCTATAATCATTTTTATGTTTGTTAGATTGGTGTTTTGTTCCTTGGCTACTGTTTTCTTTCTCATCTTCTGGTTGGAGCAGCCTGTGGTTGAATAGAGGGTCTCCTCTTAATTTGTGGGCTGGACTTCTTTTGGCTGGGATGGCTCTGGTTGAGCAGGACATTTCTACTGGAGTTAGGGGTTGGAGTTCTGGCAGCCAACGTGGCGTCTGGTTCAGCTGGGGGTTCTCTACCAGGTTGGGTACTGGAATATGGTGACAGGGTTGGGTGGGGTGATTGAGAATAGGCTGGGCAGACTCTGGGTGGTTGGGCAGCCTACCTGGAAATTTGGGGGCCTGTGTTGACTTTGGTACTCAGGAGACCTCTGTTAGCACTGGGTAATAGGATACCATGGGAAGGAGAGGAGGGGCAGTAGGGAACCCCATGTTTTAAGTGAACTTCCTCATTCCTTTATTCTTTTTACTGAAACTTAGTTCTTGCTTTGATCTAGGTTAGACTTATCTAGACTTCTATTCTGTAGATTCTATTTTGTTCCTTGTTTTCTCTTACTAGTAGGTTCACTGTTTCCTCTTCTGTGACAATTTTATACATGGATATAATGTATTTTGATGATGTTCTTCCACTACCGCCCTTCCTTGACTCCATTCTACTTCCTCTGGATTCTTTCTTTCCAAGTTCCTCCCTTTTCTTTAAAGATTCATTGAGTTTCATTAGGGTTTCTTGAATGAGCATTGAATGGGGGTTTACTTACCAGTGACTACACCACAAAAGAAAGTGACAGCTATGTTCTCCAGCAGTCAGTAACTGCTGGTAGGGCCTCAGTTGGGATACAGTCCTTCTGAACCACTTCCCCATCATTCTGGAGTGTTGTTTTACCTATGTCTTGTGGGGTAACCACAGCTACCGTGAGTTCAAGAATGCAATGATCAGACCATGTGTGTAGAAGCCAGCATTTCACAGAACCCGTCTCCATCCTTTGACTCCTGCATTCCTTCTACCACACTTTTCTCCATGTATCTGGAGCCTTGAGGGGCTAAGAGTGGTGTCTCCTTCACTTGGTTATTATTTATCTGGGATACCAAAAGCCTTAAGTTGCATCTTACAAAAGACAACATAGGAGGAAAATTTCTGAGCATTTTACATGTCTGAAACTACTCTCTCACATGATGGATAGTTTAGCTGAGTATAGACACTCCAGAAACACCCAATGGCCCAGAAACAATTAATGTGTTAAGTGCAGATTTCTCTTACTTACCGTTCAGGGCACAGCCTATACTATTCAGTACTGCATTTGTCTAAGTTCTTGCCTCTCTGCAGAAACTATATACCATGATCAGCATTTTTATATTATCTATCTATCTATCTATCTATCTATCTATCTATCTATCTATCATCTATCTATCTATTTATTTATTTATTTATACTGATTATGCTTAGAGCTCTTCTTTACCCCCAAATCCAGCTAAGATTTGAATTTAAAAATTGCTTTTCAGGGGAAAGATGGATACACTGTGAATGTGACCGTGGTCACTGGAGAGCACTCTGCAGTTCTTCCCAGAGCATTTACTTATGTCTCCTCTTTAAATCCAGTGGTTGTGTCTTTGAGCAGAAACAGAAGCAGCATAGCAGGTAAAATTCATGTTACCTCCAGCTGTTCTTTTCTGTAGAGTTTTGATCCTATTAAAAGTCAGTGAATAGACTGTGGATTTTTATTTATGATTTTATTTATTTATTTGAGGCATTGTCTTCCTATTTACTCCAGTTCCTGAAAACTCTATTTGTATGACCTTAAACTCATAATACTTGTTACACCCTTTTGAGTGTTATGATTGCAGATATACATACTGGATTCAGCTTATTGTAATATAGATGAAAGATCTTTTATAAATAAAAAATCTTTTATAAATAAAAAATCAGGTTACCTGTCAAAAATTAATCTTATATCTGATTTCTTCTCTGTAGAAATGGGACTATTTTCTTATAAAAATGATGTGAATGTTATATTAGTATTCAATAAATATTTATTGAGCAGCTAATTTGTACTAACATTATAATTACCATCAATTAGACAGTAAATCTTAGAAAGAAATCATCTTCATAATAATCCTCAGGTAACAATCCCCAGTAGAATGGGATGTTTCCATGAGATAGACGAATATACAGGCAGTGGGATCTCCTCACACCCATTCACACCATACCAGATACCAGAGAAAGATGGCAGAAGCAAACGTGTGAAGGCCCAGCAGAAGCAAAAGACATCCTGGAGTCTGTGGTCTTGGGGCCTTGTCTATCCAAGTTTCATCCATCAGGGATTCACCTCCTGGTAGGCTGACACCCTGAAGTCAACTGCGATCTGCTGCTCCTCTGACATGGCTCCTGGCAAGGCTTTTTCATACATGCTTTGATTTGGTTGTTCTTTTATCCTGAGGAACTTGCCATCACACTAGCCAAATAAGCCTGTTTTGGGCTAGTGTTACACCGCTGTCTTTTTTCTTGGCCCCCTTTGAAATCTGTTAAACTCACTGGATTTCAAGGTATAGATTGGGAACACAGGAAGAAGTAAGGAGGATGGAGAAGTGAGGAAGAATGTGAAGGTAAGATGTGTGTGTGTGTGTGTGTGTGTGTGTGTGAGAGAGAGAGAGAGAGAGAGAGAGAGAGCCTGATTCTACATATACCTAAGTTATTTTTTAGAATTTCTAAGTTAATTTTTCCAAAAACTGTATGGGAAAAAATTTGGCATCATTTTATTAATGAAAATGTCAAGGCTTAAGTCCCAAATGAGGCAGTAACATTCAAGAACTTGAATAAAGCATCACCATGTCCACTTTTCTCTTTTTAGTAGTGTGCTGGTTGGTTTTTGTAAACTTGACAGAAATGTAGACACATCTAAGAAGAAGGAATCTGTGGTGTTATTGTGATTTTGTTTGTAATCTAACAAATAAAGCTTGCCTGAATATCAGAATGCAGAGCTAAATTACTAGTTAGCCACTGAGGCCAAGCAATGGTGGCACACACCTTTAATCCTAGCACTTGGGAGACAGAGGCGGGCAGATCTCTGAGTTCAAGGCTGCTCTGTACAACAGGACTGAGTCTGTCTTAAAGAGAAACAAAATTCACACAGAGGAGATCCCACCACTTGGGATTATATGCCTTTAATCCCAGCATTATGGAAGTAGACACTGGAATGATATGGCTGGACAGAGAAAAGAATTTAAGGGGGGAGACACAGGAGCTTAGATGCAGTCTGAAGATTCATATAGACAGGATCACCCCTTTGGCCTGTGCATTGGGAGAGGTAAGAACTCTTTATGGCTTAGTTCTGCACTCTGATCTTCAGGCAAGTTTTATTTGTTAGCTCACAAGCAAAATATCACTATAGGAATCTTAATTGAGAAAATGCCTTCATAAGACTGTTCTATAGGCTACTCAGTGGAGTATTGTCTGATTAATGATGGATGGGGACAACCCAGTTTACCTTGGGAAGTGCCATTTCTGGGCAGGTGGTCCTTGAATGTATAAGAAAGCAGGCTGAGCAAGTAATGAGGAGTCGGTCAGCAAGCAGGAACTGTCCTTAGTCTGTTGATTGAGGTTTTCTGTCCTGCCCAGTTCCCGCAATTGTTAAGTCCCAAAGAAATCACACAGAGGTCTACATTAGTTATAAACTGATTGTCCCATTATCTCAGGCTTCTTATTAACTCTTATAACTTATATAGCCCATTATTAGCCCATTATTCTTGTCTATATTAACCATGTGGCTCACATCTTGCTTCTTCTGTGGTCTGGTCAAGACTGCAGAGAAATGGGCTTCCTTCTTTTCAGAATTCTCCTGTTCTCATTGACCCACCTGTACTTCCTGTCTGGTTGTCCTGCTCATACTTCCTGCCTAGCTACTGGCCAATCAGTGTTTATTTAAAATATAATTTCAGAATACAGGCCATTCTCCCACACCAATAGTCCCTGCTTCAGTTCCTGTTTCCAGGTTCCTGCTTGAGTTCCCTGATTGGTAGAGTATGACCTGGGAGTTGTAAGAAGAAAGAAACCCTTTCCTTTGCAAGCTGCTTTTGCTCATGGTGTTTCGGTCGCAGCAGTAGAAACCCTGGCTGAGACAGGCAATCTCTTCCAGTCTCATCTAATTAGCTGTGGTGTCCTCTACTTGGGATCACTGCATTGACTCTGAGGTGCTTGTGGTTAATGGACCTTTATGGTGCTCTGTTTCAAACTGGGGGTGCACTGGGGAGTGTGAGGCAGAGGCATGCATTTCTGTTTCTGCTACTGGGTACATAACTGGCTTTCATTAAGGCTCTGGTTGTCTGCAGACTGAGTTTGTCCTTCTTGCATGTTTGTTTATTCTCTAAGTATGAACAATAGCCCCTGTTGAAATAAGAAGTGACGGGGCTGTGTCCCCGGCACCCTGCCGCCTGCATGGCTAGCTTATGCCCAGAAATAATTACACGGAAACTGTATTCTTTCAAACACTGCCTGGCCCAGCTAGGTCCAGCTTCTTATTGGCTAGCTCTTACATATTTTTTTAACCCATTTTTAATATTCTGTGTAGCCCATGAGCTTGCTTACCAGTGAGGATCTTAACCTGCTTCTGTCTGGAGTGGGAGTATCATGGCTACTCACTGACTCAGCTTCTTTTTCCCAGCATTCTCTTCTGTCTACTCCGCCTACCTAATTTTCTGTCCTATGAGGGCCGAGGCAGTTTCTTTATTAGTAAGAAATCACTCCCAAATCATTTCCCCTTTTTCTGTTTAACCCAGTCCTATCCTTCCATTTCTTGCACACCTATGGATGTTTCCAAGGAATGTAGATTCCCTGATGATTAGCTTTTCTGATGATCAGGCAGACAGACATCACCATCTCGGTTTCTTTTCCAGACATGTACCTGTGTCTGCACATACCTTTCTTCCTAAAAACCAGCTAGCTGCTGCCATTTCCTGCAAGCCACTGAATGATTAAAAGATAATGTGGTACACAAGACTTGAGACCAAGGTGTAAAATTTTAAGAATTAAATATTAAGTCCCCACTTCACTCACTCTCTTTGAGATTGTATCTACCAATTGAATCGGAAGTACCATATTGCTCAATAACTCAGCCTCTCCTTATGTTCTTATTTGAATAATTAGGGTGATTCTTTGAAGAAGAACATTCTAGTTTGAATAGTACTGCCTGTTAATTGACTCTTATAGTGTGTCTTCTACTTAAAATTACAAAATCCCCATGGTTTTAAATAAACTTGTGTGTGTGTGCGCACACATGTGTGTTAGTGTGTAGTTCAGAGAACAACCTATGGAATTGGTTCTCTCCTTTTACCATTTGGATCCTAGGGAACACACTCAGGCCATCTGGTTTGGTGGCAATGACTTTCCCTCTGAGCCACCTCGCCTACCTCATACCGACACAATTTTGTCAGTTTATTTACAAGTTTTGACAGTTATTTGACAGTGAAGTCTATACAAGCCTTTTTGTGTCCCATAGCACCTTTGTCATGGACTTAATACACATCTCAATTAGAAAGAGTTGAGGTAAGTGTTTATGATATACACTTTTCTTTAAAATAAAAAAAAAGCAGAGTTGCTGATAGTAGCAGAAGACCATTGCACTACAGAGCAGAGATAGGAGTGCAGGGTTTTGCCTTTTTCACTACTTAGCTATGACACTTTGATGACTAAGGTTTCCTCAACTTTAAAATGCTAGCTGTATTTCACTGGCACAATGGATCATAATTAAATTCAGCTGCAAATTGATGCAAACCTAAAATCACCTGGAATATGGAGCTTCAGATGAAGAGTTGCCAGATCAGTTTGCCCTGTGAGCGTGTGTGAGACACATTTTCTTTAAAATTCCTATTTAGATTTATTTATTTTATTTTATGCATGTGAGTATTTTGTCTGCATATATGTATGGGTACCACATGTGTCCCTGGCACCCATGGAGGTCAGATTTCCTGGAACTGGAGTGATGGATAGTTGTAAATCACCATATATATGCTAAGAACCAAACCCAGGTCCTCTGTAAGAGCAGCAAGTTCTCTTAGCCACCAAGTCTTCTCTTTAATCTTCTGTGAGGCATTGCATTAATAGACAACTGATATAGGAGGGCTCAGGCAGTTGTGGGTGGTGGCATCCCTAGGATGGACCGAGGGCATATAGGAAAGGAATAAGCCAGGGACAGCAAATAAAGCAGCAATGTTCCATGGCCTCTGCTTCAGTTCCTGTATTGAGATCTCTTAGCTTCTCTTGATGGTTCACTGTGACCTATGAGGCCAAGAAACCCTTTTCTCCCCACATTGGCTTTGGCCAGTGTTTTATCTTAGGGTCATAAAGCAAGCTAGGACTCAGGGGGAGGATCACATGGGGTAATGCCCATCACACGTAAGTAGATGACCTGTTGGAATCGTGCAGTACATCTCGGAGATGTAAATTTTTTACTTTTCTTAGCACAAAAGTAGTAGCTAAAGGAGGGAACACAGGGCATTGTTTTGTAGGTAATGAAGGCAATTGACCCTCCAAATTACTTAATTTGTTTTTCCAGGGATCAAAGTCAGCATAAGTGTCTCAATTTTGCAACATTGATGCCCTTGAGGTCTTAGACTGTTGCTCTGTTTAAGGATTTGTTAGAAATTTCATGAGAAAAAGGGGAGCTGTTAAAATTCTTAGAGACTTACGTATAGCGCTGACTTTATTTAATCATAAAAGACAAAGTGGTTGAGGTCCCAGGTCCAGAAGTAAATATAGTCTTCTTGATACAGGTGGCGAGATCCTGTTCCTTGGGATGGCAAGGCTGATGAGCTTCACTGATCTGGATGTACAAATCCGTGTGCAGAACACCTCTGCTCAGGTCCTCACACAGACAGCTTGGGGACTGGAGGTGCTGCTGCCCCCACTGCCGACTGGCATTCACACGATTTCAGTCTTTATCAATGGAGTCAGCATTCATGCCCAGGGGTAAGGTTGACTGGGGGTCTGTTTGGTGATCAGCAATTCACTTGGCATCGTCCATCTTGAGTTGGGTGTCTTCTTTGTTCCCTGTAAAGTGAAGTGATGAGGGTCTGAGAATTATAAACATATGAATGACTCTCGAAGCCTTGTGGGCGGTTCACTCCTTAGACCAACAGATGAGAAATGTTGTCTTCCTTGTGTGGGGAAAGGGGAACTGGGATTTAGTGGAGGTGGGGATGGGTGGGCCTCTGCCTAAAGAAGGCAAGCCTGTGGTGGAGCACTTTAATAAGACTGTGTCTGGTGCTTTGGACAAATAATTTGTGATAACTGAATTCACTATGCCTCCTGCCTCACCTTCATCTCCCCTGTACCCCTGAATCACTCTAGATTTTCTCTAGAAGTTCTCTCTCCTTCATCTAGAATGTATCTAACCTGTGTGTGACTGATGTCGCCCCTGAGACTTTCCCAGGACAGCGCCCCACCCGTCCCTCCACTGTCTTTTCTCTTTGATCAGAATCACTGTCACTTGCTCCCCCCTTTACAAGCGTGTCTCCATTCTGTTCTGCTCATCTCCAGGGTATTTTCTAATGGACTGTTTTCTCTAGGGTTGATCTCCACATCCAATACCTCACTGAAGTTTTCAGCGTGGAGCCTTGCTCTGGGTCTCTTCTGGGTGAGTGGTTCCTACGTCACACGTTGTATGTCCAGCAAGTTGGTTTACTGAATATTCAGATTTTGTCCCTGAACTAATGGGCTGGTGAGGGCAGGGCTGCAGGTATTAGGGAGAGATATTTCCCATCGTTCTCAGACGATCACTGCTCTTTCATGAGGTGGGAAGAGTTGTGGGACTTCAGCTCTGTGAGTTCCAGAAATAAGAGAATGAAAAGGAGAGAGGGCTGGCTGGCTTTTATTTCTACAGGAAATGTTGAAGCATCCAGTGGATACTACACTCAAGCAGGTGTTAGGAAGGGACAGGCCAGCCTTCTGCAGTAGTGTTTTAGATACTGTATGTGCGAGGAGAGGAGGGGGAGCCTCAGTCTCTTCGCTGTCCTCTAAGGATGCAAGACAAAGGAGAAAGACAGAAACACAGCGTAGTGAAGAGTAATAGCAATGTAGAGTGTTCTGCCAGATAGTGTAACAGATGAAAAGAAAATGAAAGAATTGGATTTTTCATTCGCATATTAGTAGAGAGTAGAATAGCCTTCTGAGACATCCAAAGGTATTCTAAAATTTTGCCTTAAACACTAGAAAGTATCCCTCTTGGGGTTTGATGGTTGTGATTAAGATCACCTGTTGCTCCTGCAGAGAGGCCTTGGCTCAGTTCCCAGCTCACATGGGTCGGTAACTCCAGTTTCGGAGCATCTGTCAGGTCCTCTCTGGCCTCCACGGGCACAGGATACAGTGGTACACAGACATACATGCAGGCAACATGCCCGTACATGTAACATAAAAATAAATAAAGTTTTAAAACTATTCTTACAAAACAATTTGAACTGCTTTGCTGCTATGTGAATTTTGTCCTGTCTGAGCACTGACCAAAAGGATCGCAAATTTAGCCAGGAGGAGGATGAAATTTACACATACCGCTTTCCACTTCATTGCATCAGATCTGTACAGGGGGTGCGGTTCCTAATTGGAATATTAGCTTTTATGTGTGTGTCTATGTGTATGTGTTTTTATGTGTATTTATGTGTATTTTTTTTTATTTTTTTTTTTTTTTTTGTGTTTTTGTGTGTGTGTGTGTGTGTGTGTCTGTTTCTCTGAGCACATTCCAGCAGGCATGAAGAGGTCAGAGTTCAGTTCTCTCCTTTCACCATATGGGTCCTCTTCAGGAACTGACCTCTGGTTATCAGACTTGGCTGCAGAGGCATTTAGCTGCTGAGCCTTTCTGCTGGCCAGAATACTGCTTTTAATTTTGTATCATCCTTGTTTAAACTTTAGGTGGAACCATCCTCAGCATTGCAGGAATAGGACTCGGCAGAGACCCAGCTCTGATTTGGATACTTGTGGACAACCAGACTTGCGATATCGTGACCTTAACTGACATGAATATCTGGTGTGAGACTCCTCCAGCTGCACTGTCACCTGTGGCAGATGTTCTCAGTGTCTCTGCTTCCGTGGAGATCTGGGTCGGCAACACTTCTTTCGTCCATGGTCCAGCCTTGGTGGGGAAGGGCTTTACCTTCATGTATGAAGCCGCAACAACACCAGTGGTCACTGCTCTGTGGGAAGAACTCACGAACGACAGCCTGCGGTTCTATGTGGAAGGAAACAACCTTTCTGACTCAGCCATTCTTTTTGGAACCTTGAAATGTGACCTTGAAGTGCAATCTTTTGTCGAGAACATGAGCTTGTCTGGGTGCTCCTTTCCTCTCTACAGTTTGGAAGCAGGAGTCTATCCTCTCCGAGTTCGTCACAAGTGGATGGGGTTTGCCAATATGTCTGCAGTGCCCCAGAAATTTGAGTTGTCACCGCGGATAACGGCCATCTTCCCAACACGTGGTTCTGTGTGTGGTGGGACTGTACTCACTGTGAAGGGCATGGCCTTCAATTCAAGAAGGAAGTCAGTTCATGTTGACCTTTCAGGCCCTTTTGCTTGTGTGATTTTGAGTTTGAGAGGCCACACAGTCCTATGCCAGACCAAATTGGTGGGCGACCACTTTTCTGCAGTGTCGTTTGCTCTAAATGTCACAGTTGTGGTCAATGGGCTGGCCAGCAAGTGTGCAGGGAACTGTACACTCTTCCTGCAGGAAGAAGCGACGCCTACTGTGGATGTCTTGACTGCAAGGCTCAATGGTTCTGTAACCACGGTGCTGATGAGATGCCAATGGTTAGGCACCACTGATGCTGCACCAACAGTGTTTGTGGATGATCAGCTTCCTTGCCACACAACTTTCTTCAATACCAGCCACGTGGCTTGCCAGATGAGTGACTTGACCCCAGGGCTCCATTACCTGTCAGCTGTTCATACACACACTGGTTATGCTTGCCTGGATAGTGTTTCTAGAAACTTCTTCATTCCGCCTCAGGTGTTTGACTATTTTCCTAAGAATTACAGCACCCACGGTGGAAATCTCTTGACCATAAAAGGCACAGCTCTTAGGGGACGGAATGCTACATTTGTCTATGTTGGCCAGAGGGCTTGTCTCACAGTCATCATCAGTTATGAGCTCATCCAGTGCATCATTCCTGCAGGAAGTGGCTCTGTGGCCCTGGAAGTAGAGGTGGATGGAGTTTTGTGCCACGCGGGACTCATTGGTTACAGCAGTGTCTTTACTCCGGAACTGCTCTCTGTTTCACGGAGTCATGACATCTTAACCTTTGCAGTCGCCCAGATCTCAGGGGCTGCAAATGTTGTCATTTTCATCGGGAAGTCACCATGCATGGATGTCTCTGGGAACCGTACAGTTCTCCGGTGCATGGTTCCTTTACTTCCTGCTGGGGAGTATCCTGTCACGGGCTATGATCACTGCAGAGGCTGGGCCTCTTCGGCTCTCATTCTGGAGCAGAGAGTGACTGTGACCTCAGTGACTAAGAACTTTGGTAAGTAGAGAAGACAAGATAGAATACACTCTATATAAAGCGAATTAACTGTTCCTGTCAGTTTTAGAAAGGAGAGTACCAACGCCACTATAGGGTAGCAGGAACAAAAAGCTGGGAGACTTCTTGTAGCTACAGCTTCTTCTTCAAGCCAGTTTTTGTGACATTTTGTTGATCTATCTTCATTTTCCATCAGGGAAATTTCACATATTCCCTAAGTATTTGATTGTATTTTTCTTTAATGCATCAACTTCACTGGACATGTGTTTTAAATTTAATAGTATAATTTGCTAAAGCTCTTTATTTTATTATATAAATATATTCACCTATTTTAGACATATGCTGATTTGTATTATATTTTTATTTTTTAAAATTGTTTTTATTGAGCTATACATTTTTTCTTCACTGCCCTCCCTACTTCTCCCCTCCCTTACTACCCTCTCCCATGATCCCCGTGTTTCCAATTTACTTAGGAGATCTTGTCTTTTTCTACTTCCCCTATAGATTAGATCCTTGTATGTCTCTCTTAGGGTCCTCATTGTTGTCTAGGTTCTCTGGGATTGAGATTTGTGGGCTGCTTTTCTTTGCTTTATGTCTACAAGCCACTTATGAGTAAGTACTTATTATATTTGCCTTTCTGGGTCTGGCTTACCTCACTCAATATGTTGTTTTCTAGATCCATCCATTTACCTGCAAATTTCAAGACATCACATTTTTTGCTGCTGATTTGTATTATTTAAAACATATTTAACAGGATTAATTTTTGCCACTTTGTAACAGTTTACAGATGAATTTCTACTCCACTAATAATGTGCCAGTGGCATAGTACAAGTGTGCTGGTTACAGTTAAAAGATATTTTTTTTCTATTCCATGCGCATGCATGTATGCCTGAGTGCATATATGTACATCACATGTACTCAAGGTACCCATGGAGGCCAGAACAGGGCACCAGATCTCTAGGAACTGGTGTTATAGGCATCTGTGAGCCGCTCATTGTGAGCGCTGCAACCAAATTCAGGTCCTCTTGAAGAGGACCGAGTGCTCTGAACCACTGAAGCATCTCTGTGGCCCCCAGTTTTATATTTCCTTTCAGGGACACTGACATTTGTCTAGTTAATTTTTTTTCCCCTGTAAGGTCTCTATTCACTTACTCTGCTGAGATAGCTTAAGTCTGTTTGTAAGTAAAAAAAAAAAAGAACATAAAGGAAATCATTCAACCCAAATTGGAGGGGTGACACCCATAAGACACTTCAGTTGAGTGGGGTGCTGATGGGGTCAGGGTCTGTGTTTGAGGCAGTGGTTAGTGGAGCTAGCATAGCTCTGTTTCTTCTAAGATTTGGCTTCCTTGCTTATAAAGGGTTTGGGCTGGATAGATCATTAGCTCCTCTCCCTACTCCCCGAGACATCATGATTTTTAGGGTGAATGAGCACTGTTAAAAGCACCTACAGCAGGAGACAGCAGGTGCTTCTAGAAGGACCTCCATCCCTCCAGTGGGATGAGGGCAGGGGAGACTGAAGCTCCTCCTCTCTAAGTGTCCCAGCTATCTGGACTGTTTTTTCCAACCCCAAAACCTTAAAATATGTTTTTACTGTAATACCCATCAATAGTGATGAAAACAGAGAATTCTTTGGTGGTTTTAGATATTAATTTTTCACACTGAGAAAAATTGTATAATGAGATTCAGTTATCTATCAAAATGTTACAGGATCTATGGTTTAGAAAGATACCTGTGCTGTAATTTTAAGTAAATAACAGAGTTTCAAGATAATATGTACATAATGACCCCTTTTAATATACTGTATCTATGCAGGCATTAATATACTGTATACATGCATTACACACTCACACATACACACAGGGACAGACACAGAAGGCGTGTTTGGTAATGAGTCACAGAAACTTTATGATACATGGATTTCTCTGGAGATTCTCTTAGGTGGTTGTGGGAACTTAAACTTTTGTTTCCATTTTATGTTCTTTTTGTATAGAAATAAATTTTTGTATAGAAAATTAGTTGTTTAAACAAAGTGACTAAAATTTTTTAAAAGCTCTCAATAGAACAGCAAGCTGCAGATGAGAGCCAAGCAGAGAACCTGGAGATGCTGGGATCAGTTATACACCTTCTGTAGGGGTTGAGAAAATTGCACAGTGAGAAAGTGAAGGTTACGCTTTGTGTGCAAGATTTGCCTCCTAAATAACGAGCTTGGGATTTTGTCTCTGAAGGCTGCCTGGGTGGAAGTCTTTTGCATGTGTTCGGAGCAGGATTTTCTCCAGGGAAGATCTCAGCTGCTGTGTGTGGTGCTCCGTGCCAAGTCTTGGGTAATGCAACAGTGTCTGCCTTCAGCTGCCTGGTTCTGCCCCTGGATGGTGAGCAAAAGACCACACATTTATGTGAAGATCATAGTCTTTGGATTTTTCTGTTTCTGTTTTAGTATTGTATTGACGACAGCTGGAAATAGAATTTTCTTTTTTCTACCAAAAATTGTAGATGCCAGGGCCCAAGGAGATAGCGTAGTGGGTAAATTGCTGGCCGTGTAAGAAGAGGGCTCGTGTTCAGAACTTCTGCCCCCCATGATGAAGCTGGCCATAGCGGTTTGTGACTATGACTCCACAGTGGGCAGAGGTGCAGAGACAGGTGGATCCCCAGAACTTGCTGGGTAGGCACTCTGACTGAGAGGTGAGCCCTAGCTTCAATTAACCTGCCCCCCAAAATAAAGTAGAGAGAGAAGAAGACACCTGTAGCCCACTGCTGGCCTCCACACGTATTTGCGTGCATACAGCTAGAAGAGTATACCATCCTATACACATGTACACACATTGACACACACACATATACCACGTACATGCATAGAACACACATGCATAGACAAAAGACTGCTAACAGCCTTCTCATTGGGCAGCTCTTGAATACTGGTTTTGTACTCAGCTCCTTGATTCTTTTAGGCAAGACTTGCTAGTCACATTGTTCTCTTTTCCCTCAATGCTGAGTTAAAGCCATGATAGCACAATGCTTTAAGAGATGGCCATCATGTAAATTGCATAACCCTGTCTTTATGGAGGGAGGGAGGAGTGTGCAAAGATTGAGGCTTCATAACTTGTGGTCACTGGCTGTTGAGCTTCAAGGGGAAACTCCCCACAGGATGAAATGACTTTATTATCACAGGGCCATGCTGCTTTTGAGAGAGCCTCAGTTAAGTCTGATGAGTGTTCTGTTTGTGTATTCCCGTGTGCTAAGCCTTTGCACTTTGGCAATCACACTGTGTCCTTCAGCATGGACAGATACGCTATGCTCTCTCTGTGTTGGTTTAGTTCATGTCTCCCTTCCTACATCTTTCCCCCTGAAATTTGAATATGGTCTTAGATCTATAAAGTGGTGGATGTGGAATTCCACCTGAATTTGGGCAATAATTCTACGGGATGTGATTCTATTATGATGGTGAATTATACTGCATCTTAGGCAGGAAGAAAGGGGGAGGAGGAAGGGGAGAGGGAGGGAGAGAAGAGTAAAGAAGGGAATACGAAGAAAATCCTAGTTTACCACTGCAGGGGCAGTTTTCTGTTACCATCAGGTATATAAGCTGAGCGCGAGGAAGGGGAGACCAACTCCACAGTAAGAAACCTAAGGTGCAAAAGCTGTTTTATCACTATCTGATCTGTGGCTACTCCTCCGATGCACCAAACAATGTCCACCCAGAGTGCGTGCAAAATTTCTCTATTGTAAAATTAAACAAAAGAGTTAGGTAACAGTGGGAATGAAGCAATGATTACTTTGTAGGCTTTAATTTTGGTGTAGAGTTTCATTTATTTTTATTTTCTGGCAGTGAGTGTTTTGCCTGTATGCATATATACATGCATGCATGTATGTATGTGTGCATGTATGTCCCATGCATGTTTGGTGATCGTGGAGGTTAGAAGATGGCATCAGAGATCCCCAAACTGGAGTTACAGGCACTTGTGAGCCATTATATTGATACAGGAAATCAAACCCAGGTCCTTTGCATGAGCAGCAAATATTCTTAACAATTGAGCTCTCCAGCTACTATGGTCTAACATTCAATTAACCTCTCATCAGGGATTTTTCCCCCCAATTGAAACTAGATTCTCTCATATAATACATCCCTACCACAGTTTACCCTCTACTTCTCTCCCATCTCCCTCACTCACCTTCTCCTCCAAATCCACTCTCCTCTGTTTTCCTTCAGAAAAAAAGCAAGCCTCCAAGAGACAACAACCAAACATGACAAAACAAGATAAAAAAGAAAACAAAAGCCCTCGTATCTAGGCTGGACAAGGCAATCCAACAGAAGGAAGAGCTCCCTAAAGCAGGCCTCAGAGTCGGAGATGCACCTACTCACATTGTTAGGCGTCTCACAAAACACCAAGCTACACAATCAATTGTTGCATAGGTACAGAGAACCCCTAGTGCGGACCCATGTAGGTTCCATGTCTGCTGTTTTAGTCTGTGAGACTACTTGAGCCCTGCTTAGTTGATTCGGTGTCCTTGACCTCTCTGACTCCTACAATCTTTCTTCCCTCTCTTCCACGGTGTTCCCCGTGCTCTGGCTGTGGGTCTCTGTTTCTGTTCTGTTGGATGAAGTCTCTCTGTATCTGTTGAGACTTGCTTTGTGTTCAAGTACGTGGTCAATTTTGAAGAAAGTTCTTTGTGGTGCTGAAAAGAAGGTATATTCTTTTGTGCTTGGGTAAAATGCTCTGTGAGGCCATTTGGCTTATACCATCTGTTAGTTCTGGTATTTCTCTGTTTAGAATTGTCCAGATGACTTGTCCACTGGTGAGAGCGGTATATTGAAGTCTCCCACTATCACTGTGTGCGGGCCAATATGTAATTCAAGCTGTAGTAGTGTTTCTTTCAGAAGTGTGGGCGCCCTCATGTTTGGGCCACAGATGCTAAGAACTGAAATGTCATTTTTGTGGATTTTTACCTGTGATGAGTATGTAGGCTCCTCCATCTCTTTTGTTAGACATTAAAATGACTACTCCAACTTGTTTCTTAAGGTCATTTGCATAGAATATTATCTCTTTTGAAAACCTTACGCTGAGGTAATAATATCTATCCTTGATGTTGAGGTATATTTCTTGTAGCAGCAGAAGGATGAATCCTGCTTTTATATATATTCTGTTAGTCTCTGTCTTTTTATTGAGAAATTGAGTCCATTGATATTAAGACTCAATGACCAATGATTGTTTATCCCTGGTATTTCGTTGCTGTTGGTGGTGCTAGTGTATCTCTGTGTGTTTCCCTTCTTTTGGTTTTGCTGATGGAGATTTTATTTTGTGTGTGTTTTATGGGTGTATCTAACCTCCTTGGGTTGGGTAGCATGTTCTGTAGGGCTGGTTTTGTAGACAGATATTGTTTAAATTTGACTTTATTATGGAATATCTTATTTTATCCATCTATGGTGATTTAAAAAAATTGCTGGGTATAATGATCTGGGCTGGCGTCTGTGATCTCTTAGATCTTCAGAACATCTGTCCAGGTCCTTCTGACTTTTAGAGGGTTTTAGAGTATCCATTAAGAAGTCTGGTGAATGCTGATAGGGCTGCCTTTATAGGTCTTTTTCCCTTGCAGCTTTTTTTTTTTAACATTCTTTCTTTGTTCTGTATGTTTAGTGTTTTGATTATTATATGGTGAGGGGGCTTTCTTTTCTGATCCAACCTCTTTGGTGTTCTGTATGCTTCATATACATTTATAGGCAAATAGTTCTTTAGGTTAGGAAATTTTCTTCTATGATTTTGTTGAAAAAAATTTGGGGGCCTTTGAGCTAGGATTCTACTCCATTAACTATTCCTATTATTCTTTGGTTTGGCCTTTTTTTAGTGTGCCAGATATCCTGGATGTGTTGAGTCATGAATTTTTAAATTTAACATTTTCTTTGTATCCATTTCTTCTATCGTATCTCCAATGGCTGATACTCTTTCTTCCATCTCTTATATTAGTGAAGCTGGTCTCTGGAGTTCCCGTTCATGTTCTTAAATTTTTCATTTCCAGAATTCCCTCAGTCTGTGTTTTCTCTTCTTTTATATTTCCTTTTTTAGGTCTTGCACAATTTTATTCATTCTTTTCAACTGTTTGTTTTTTCTTGCCTTTCTTTAAGGGATTTATTCACTTCCTCTTATTGTTTGCTTATGTTTGCCTAGATTTCTTCGAAGGATTTATTCATTTTCTCCAATTGTTTGTGCTTTCCTGGTTTCTTCAAGGCATTTATTCCTTTCCTCTTTAAGAACCTCTGTCATCTACTTATAGTTGCTTTTAATGTCTTTTTCTTGTGCTTCGGCTATGTTGGAATCCTCAGCGCCTCCTGTGGTGGGATAGTTGGTCTTCAGGCAGTTGTGGCCTGTAGTTGAGCAGGGGGTTTCTGCCTGAGATGCAGGCTGGTACACAGTGGCAGGGGTGGGAAGAGGTGGGGTATGATGATCTCTGGGATCCACAGCAGGTGTGGACGCTGGAGAAAGAGGCTGCAGCTGGTGTTGCAGCGCTAAGGAAGACCCTGAACATTTGGGTCTTGGGGGGGGCAGAGAGAGCCTCTTCAGGTTTTTTATTTTTAAAACTTTCTCATATAGTTATCATGAGTTAGTAAACTTTGGAATTCCTTGGTTATCTTAAAACATTGAACCTTCACCAGAAGTACTGAGGAAAAAAAATCAATGAAGTGATCAGGGTCAGGTAAATCTTGATATTATAAGTTGGAAAATGCACATTGGAAATATTAAGTTGCTATATCATAAAGTATTTTATTAAGTTTTAGAAATTGAGAATCAATTATTTGTATTTTGAAAGGAGCAATATGGTAATTAAAGGCTGTAAGTCTTATCATGGCCACTAGGTGTCACCAAACACTCATCAATTGCACAAACACAAATTGCTTTTTAGTTTTAAAAAATATAACAACTTAAAAAAAAACCTTATTCTTATGGTCTGTGAACACCTACTCCAGAGTTCCTTACATTCAGGTGGAGGTGTGGGGAGTCTGGAACCTTCTGAAGCTGGCTAAAGCAAATGCTGTTTGTATAATTGCATTTTCATTTCTTCCTGTGAAGGTGTGCCCGGAATAGACATAAAATGGCTAAGGGGCCGGTGCTTGTGAAACTGTTGTGGTTCACCTGGATTCTCTTGCTTTAAAGGATTGCATAGAATCAGCATCTTTAGAAATCTCTTTCTTTCAGAGATGTCAGAGGAGCAGTCCTCACGCCTGTATCCAGGCTGCAATTCTCAGAGAACCCATCTTTCTACATTGCTAGCACCTGAACCGTTCCAATGTTAACCAGCCAATGGCCTTCGGAAAGCTACCCCATGCGTGTGTGCTAAGACAGCTGAGTGTACCTGTGCCCCAGAGCGACTTTTGCAGCATAGCCTACGAATTTGTTAGACATGTAGATTCTCAGGATTCATGTTGTCTGAAACTTTATACAGAAACATTTTGACGTTCCTTCTTTGGTTTCCTACACTGTTGCCTATTGAAGTTTCCAAAACCAGGTAGCTTGTGGTATTAAGCAAGGTTTAGACACACTGGGGACCATCACTGACGTCTGCCTATTATTAACATCATAGTGCTTTCTGTTAAACACTGCTCCCTCCCCCACCTCTCTCTCTCTCTCTGTGTATAGCATGGATGCCTATGGCATATGTGTCTGTTCTGTGTGACGCTATTTCTAAGGGAGTAGGAGAGAGAGGAACTAATGCCTCCTCACCCCAGATACAGAACCTCTAACAGTCCAGGTACACATACCATTCAAGTCTAGTTTGGTGAACCAAATAGTTTCACTGGGGTTATTCACAGTAGTATGGGTGAGGGCTTACTTGCAGAAACAGAGTCTTCAGGGAGCTCGGCTGGTCTCTGCCTCTTCCAGGAGGCCCACCTCGTCTGAAAGTGTCTCTCTGCAGTCCTACTATTAATGCATGCTCAGGGAAAAAGGAATCCAAAAAATCTTGTCAGTTTCAGGGACCTCCTAAATTTTTTTTTAGTAGTTTATTTCCTGAGTTAATGAGCTTGAAATATTTTATCACGGAGAAAATTTCTAGACAACATTCATGTTTGTGTTCATGTATACAAATCACGTGCCTGTGTGTGTGTGTGCATTGAGCATACATGCATAGTATGTATGCATGCATTAGCGTGTTTAGGTACATGCATATGGCAAGCATGCTTCTGTGTTTCTAAACAGACTGCACAGCTGTAGACTCTCTTCCTGCTTACACGGCTTCCTTCTCCTGCAGTTCACTGCCTCACGCTTTTCATTTGGTCTTCTGTTTGTTTTTGTTAACTTCTCAAATTTAGCAAGGTCACTTTGAGTTCTGTCCATCGGTTTGAAATAGTTTCAGTTTGATTTTGCGTGATAGATGGATGTTTCCGATCCCAGATTACAGATAAATGTCTTAGGAGGCAAACTTTCCTAATTACAGTTTGCTTGTTCCAGTGCCATGGTACGAATGTGTTTCCTTTTTAGAGAATGATGGGGAATGAAAGATAGAGATGAGAAAAGTTCCTTTGCTGCTTTCGGGGTCATCTATCTTGACTGTCCCAAATTACACTCCTAGCCAATGAATACTCTTCCATACGATGGGTGCTGAAACACCCAGTTAGGTGAATTTCATATTTCATTTTTTTGTTTAAAACCGCTCAAGATCTTTGATCTTCAGGTTTTTTACATTTACTTGGATTATACCAAATGACTTTTTCACGGAAACTTTAACTGTTCCATGAGGCATGAAGAGCTAAAGCGATTAAGGGCACAGAGCTATTTAGTGGCAGAACTCGGAATAAGACCCATGGATTTTGATCCCCAGCCTTGGGTGCTTTTCATAATCCACCTTGTCAATTTGCATCCACTTAATCACCTATAATGAATTCATTATTTTATAGGTGTTGAACCTGTTTTTATTTGCCTTGGGGCTTCTGAACTAGAAAGCTCTCATGTTTTGTCTCCCCACACGAGAATCCGGTTGTCAGTCACTTTGATTGCAATTATCTATTCCAAATGCACGCCCAGAGACTGTCCTAGGCGTCAGGTGCTTTGGAATGTAATGGCAACCAGAATAGCATTTGGTATGACGGCATAACTACAAATTCTGCTGTCTGTACCCACCTCATGTGGTCCTTGCTGTCAGCGCCGGGAGAGGCAGGCAATCTTAGCTTCAATCCTGAAGGTCTCGGTAATGTTGGCTGGGTACCTGTGAGGACAGGCTAGCTGCAGACATAGCAAGCCAGAGAGGGTTTTCAGACAGTTCCTATGGAAACACCTCACCAGAAGACATTTGTTCTTCCAATGAAAGGTTTTTGGTCACTTTATGTTCTTTTTGTTCTAGAACCAGAGTTCCATTCTCTGGTCGGCGAGCAGCTAGCCCACCGCATGGACCCGACTGGTCCCAGAGTCACTGATGGACTTGATGCCTTTCTTTGCTGAATGCTGGGATCATGCCTGCCTCTTTATTGCTTTTACATCTCTTCCTTGTACCAGAGAGAAAGGGGGCAAAGCGTTCACTTTTCTACCTTATGAAATATTACTGGTCATTATAATACAGAGAGAGTTCTGTTAAGCAAGGAGTTCCATAAAGAGAGAGAGAAGTCTAGCCACAAACTTGGAGGAGGTAATTATAACTTTTAGAGGACCCTAGAATTCCAGACCAACAGGAAAAAGATGAAGTTTCAAAGTTGAAAAATAGTCCCATGAAAAGAACAGGAACTTCACAGGAGAGACTTGAATTATAATTAGACGTAAACATTTCTCAACCTAAAGAGTAATGATATAAATGTGAATTAATGCTGCCATGTGGCACTGTGCTCCTCATCATAAGGAAAAGTTGGGGTCTGACAACCTCGAGTGCCACCAACCGTGTGCAATAGTGAGAACACAAATACAGACAGTAGGAAGACAGAAATTGCTTTGGAAGATAAGATGGTAGTTTCTTTTCAAGTTGACCTTGTACCCACAATCTTTTTTCTTTAGAGACACCTTAGAGAAAACTTTGTTCATATCTGCATTGATTGACCATGGATCTCTTTTTTGTTTTTTGAGAAATGAATAGATAATTTTATTTTCCTAGGTCAAAGAATGCATCATTCCAGAAATGACATGAGATTTTGAGTTCTTTCCACAGGTTGATCTAAACTCGTGCTGACTTTTTCCAGTGTCCTTGGCTTCCCTGTGTGACCTGAGGCCTGCAGAAGACAGCTGTGAAGTCAGCAGCCACACCTACATGCGCTGCGATTTGACCATCGCCATAGGGACAAAGAGACTGCCTGGCTCCTGGCCTTACCTCTACTGTTGTGAAGAGAGTCCCCAGTATCTCTTAGCACCAGAGCACTGGGCAGAGCCAGCCTCCCCACCCTTCTCAGGCCTCTTCATCAGGTAGCTCCATCTTTCACATCCTCTTTGACTTTCCCACTGCTTTTGGCCACTGGGATCCACAGAGCCGGCAGAAAGCACAGGCAGGGTGGATTTGGCCTACGGGCCTCCAACTCTTTCAGAGGGGCCATTCCATCATGGATTCCAGCCAACCTTCATATCAAAGCATCTCTGTCTTTTTCAAGTGCTCAGGAGAACATCTGAAAAATATACCCAGTAAACAGCTCACTTTGTTCTTGCTTAGATTTTAATATTTATCTTCCGATCCAGCGCGACATCTGGTGCATGCCAATGGGGAGAAAGATTAGACGTTATGAAAAACAGAAGGCTTCCTCCCTCTCCTTTTTTCTTTTCTTTCCAAACAGATTCACAAGTATGAAAAAAAATGTTAGAGAAATCTGGCAGATTGCACAATGTTTATTCAAAAGAAGAGGAGTTATGCCCCAGAATTACTCTAGATCTGGGGTTTAGAGGCCACAAACTCCTAAGGACTTGGAGATTTAAAAATATATATAAAAAGCAATAATATGACTTTCTAGATTTGACCACTTTCTAACCCAATTTTTAAAAATGTGAACATGCTGGTAAGTTTGCACAGCCTTAATTTCTGTCAGTAGTTCAGTTCCATCGCAGGCTGATATCTTATCACCAAATATTGCCTTGTGTCTTTATTGCTCATCTGGATAGAATCGTTAATGGAGAGCGATTTCCTCATTAAGATATAAAACCAAACACGACCAGTTGCCTTCAGTTGCAGAAATAACTAGTTCTTTCCATGGCTGTCTGACTTAGTGACATTCTGAGCAGTCTGTCTTGGTGGGAACTTTCCACCAGAGATTTGTGGTCAGTCAGAGGAAAAGAAGCTCTCCCTTGACTGCGGCCCCCTTGAAGGACATGATGTGCTTCCGAAAGGGATTATGGGAAGTGAGGGCGTGAAGTCTGTGGTCAGGTGAAGCAGGGTCTCAGAACCCACTACCATATCCACAGATTCTGTGCCTCTGATTCAGGGGACTTTGCTTGCTCTTGGATTCTTCCGTGGTCTCCTCTTTAATGTCAGAGGTGGCTGAAGAAACTGTGTCTCAGACCCCCATGACAACATGTACCGTTTACCTATAAGTATAGTTTCACTATACTGAATATCTTGCCCAGTACTCTGGCTATTGCAGCATTCCAAAGTGTATGTGATTTATTGAACTAGAATTCAGAGCTCTTTGACTTAAACACAATCTACACTTCATGCTGAAGAGGACAGGGGAAACACACATGACTCTTGGTGGCTAGTAGGAAAACAGCTTGGTATTGGCATAAAAACTTTGAGGTTTTTTTTTTAAGTAGAAATCTAGTTTTGTTTGTGTTTCTTTGATACAGGGGCTCACTTTATAACACTAAGTGACTGGTCTTATGATCTGCCTGCCTGGAAGGTCTATTTCAGACATAATGGCTTTGCTGCCACTTTTAGCAATGACTTTTAAATGACAAACATCTCTAGTGAAGTAATCAGAAACAAGTTATCAAAAAAACAAAACAAAACAAAGCAAAACAAAACACTAAGTTATCAGAAAGGGGGCTAACCCTCCAGAACAGATGAACCTAAAGAGAGAAGGTAGTAGGTTGGTAACAGGTGAGCTAAAGGAGGCCAGAGTGGTTTATATCACTTACTCAAAGTTTTGTCATAGAGCCCAATGAAGAGAGGGATGATGGGTAACCATTTTCCCAATTAACAATGGGAAATGGAGGATTATGGGAATTCAGACAACCCAGCTTGACATTATCCCTGACCCCACTGTAGGAGGGGTTATTAACTAGATGACTTATGAGCCCTCAGAAATAAAAGTAGCCGTCTGGGAGCCAGCTCACAACTTCATTTCCTTCAGACAGGGTTATAAGTGATTTATGATGTAAACATGGTGGAGGTCCTTCACAAAACAGTCTAAGAATCTCCTCCAACCCAATAGCAGAAAAATAAATAGAAGGAAAGAAGGCGAAAACAAGTTGTACTTGCTCAGCCTCATGGAGGCTTGATAAGCCTCACAGTGCTTTGAAGGCGGCTATTTCTAAAACCCATTTTGTTTTTCTATGTTTATTTTCCCCATTTTCAAATATTACATAACATTTTAGTTTTCTCTATTCTATTTTTTAATAATTTAAAATTTGTTCTTCAGAAATTTCATAAGCATATACAATATATTTCGGTCATATCCACCCCAAACTCTCTCCAGTTCCCCATGGGACTTTAACACGTGTCCATTCCAAGCTTTTTTTTTATATATGAGATGAAATGAAAGTTTATTCCAATAACAGTAATTGTTGAAGAAACAATCTTACCCACAGTCTGCCAAATATACTCCCTAAAGTGCCACACTCAATAGATAAAGGTAGCTGCAAGATAAAACCCCTCATAATTACAAGGGTCACCCTCCCAAAACGGAAAAGAATATATTTGTTCTTTATGTAAGTGGGCAAACCAGTGTGAATGTGCCATTAAACTTGATGGACTAAAAAGGAAATAAAATTTTCATCTCTGAAGAGCCAAACATTTCCCATGCAGAAGTCTTAGTTTATCCAGCCTGGAGTGGAGCCAAATTACATTCTTTTCCTTTTTAAAATAATTAAACCACTAAGCCCAGTTGGTGCTAACCATCCGTGTATAGGTGTGGGGTTGTTCATGGAAACACAGGCAACACTCCGGCAGCCACACTTTCCTCACTGAGTAACTTCCAATAGCTGATCAGCTAGGGGTGGGGCTCTAAGAGCCCCTCCCCTATCCTTGCTGGAATTTTGACGGGTTTTATCTTGTGCAGATGTCCGCATTTCCCATGAGTTCTTATGTGCCATCTCTGGTTCTTACTGTCTTTCTACCCTGCGTTTTGGGATGTTCCCTGGACTTTGAGTGGAGGGAGGTTGTTATAAAGGACTCACTTATAGCTAGACTCATTAATTCTCAGCACTTTTACTAGTTATGAATCTCTAAACTAACTACTCACTACCCTCTGTGACCAATGCCGAGAGCAAGACAAATCAGTGCAAAAATAAATGGGTAGAAGGCCATTTGACCACTTGACCATTTTTTTTTAAATAGCCCTGTGTTCCGCACTAAGACCCATGACCTCCCACTGTGGTCTTTTTACTAGGTCTATTTTTTTTTTTAGATCTGATACTAGATTTCAGGAACAAACGTGTTATATTTACCCATTGATTTATCTGCATTCTGGAGGGTGATTTTACTAGTTAGATGATGGCATAGGATTTACAATGTATTTGAAACATGGGCTCAAATAAATGAGTTGAATGTGGATTACAACATCTCAACCATAATATGCCTAACATCACTGCTACACAAACTAGAGCAAGCGTTACATTTATTCGGCACTTACTGTATATTGGGTTCTGTTCCAGTCATCCCATATGCTTCCTTGTACTCAATTCTCCACCACCTCTACAAAGATAGGTGCTAGATTCTTAGTATTTTATAAAAAGGAAAATAAAGTTTGGTGAGGTCTTTCCTCATTGTCATATGGAAGATAGGGATCCCCTCTGGCAATCTGTTATAATACACCTGCTTTCATACCTTTGTATGTGAAGGCTGCCCCAAGCCTCCACTGACTGTATATGGCACAGTGAAACTGCAAGTCATTGGAGTGCAGAGACCTGGAGATCCTTACACCTTCAAGTCAACATCAGGCATGCAAAAGAACAGAATTAGGTGCCATGGGTTGTGGGTTTCTGATTAAAGGAGAACAGAACCCCGGTGGTTAGCCTAAAGTCTATGTTAACTCTGGGTGGTGTGATGTGAAAATACCATTGCCACTCTGTAGGTCTAGGACACAGTCGTTAGGGAAGCTGTGTCTTTGCTAGATAAATACAGTCATCATTTCTAGCAAATTGTCTGAGAAACCATTTTGACGTTGATTTCAAGAAAGTAGCTAGGGTTTGACATGATTTATAGTCTCCCCGCCAGGGACCTTTGTCCTTCCTGCTGCTCCTTCTGATCCTCCTGTGGGATCTGCCATCTTCCTGGCTGATGTTCAGTCAGCGCCTGCAAACCTGAGGGCCCAGCATAGGAAGCATCACACCCCAGTTCTGATCTTGACACTGAATAAATTTGTGGTTTGGCTTTATGCAAATCCCTCCGATCTCTTTGGGTTACCTACTTCATACCTCTGCTTAATTTACAGACTGAAACCAGACCTTGCATATAAAATTGCAGGCAAGTATGAGACATCATGCATTATTATTACTAATAATCTTTGAGTTAGTTGCAACAATGCCTAAAGCCAGGATTATTCTTGAATAAATATCACACCTGTTGGGGATGCTGTTCTCTAATATCCACAGTTCCTCTAGACTGCATATTTTTAGACTCTCTCTAACTCTGTGCTGCGGATTTCCAATGGAAATCCAGTCTGCCTTCTCTTTTTAAAGCAAAAAGGACTGTGTAGAGTGAATGTCTGGGATATAACTGGTACATATATCGAATCTCCTTAGTCTGGGCTGTTAAGTAAGTTTAATTAATTTACTAAGTTAATGTTCGACTGCTAGCAACAGAGCCTCATTGCCATCAGCTGGGGAGAGGGAATTGAAAACCTAAATGAGCTCATTTTTTTCACAGTTTGGAATTAGGGACCAGTTAGCCAGTTGTGAGGGTTTTCCAATTTCTCCATCTGCCCTGGAGGGATTCAGGCAATTCTCTCCCCCAACACTAAGTGTGAGTAAGATCAGGAAGAGGTACAGGATAAGGAAAAAAAAAGCCCCAAACAAAATAAAGAAACTCAGCTCAGGTTTTGCTTCCATTTTTCGACCTCAAAGAGCTCTCTGGGAGCTGCTTGCTAGGTGGGGTCTGGGAAGCGGATGCTCATGCGCCTAATTTGGGAAGGAAGAAAGGCTTCAGCGAAGGATATTTAACTGTGTGCATTCTCTCTGCTGGGTGAGCAGATAAAGGAAAAACAAATAAACAATAAAAGAATGGAAACAAAATTACAGAAATTTGCAAAATTTGACAAATGGTGGCCTCTAGTTGCCACAAGCTAATGGCTTGCAATGATTAATAAGAGTAAAAATAATTGCATTTCATTAAGATTGATGACACCCCATTTAACCTCCCCTCTTGTTTCAGCCCTAAAGTGGAAAGAGATGAAGTTCTCATCTATAATAGCTCCTGTAACATTACCATGGAAACTGAGGCAGAGATGGAGTGCGAGATGCCTAATCAGCCAATTATCGCCAAGATTACTGAAATACAGAAAAGCCGGGGCCAGAACACTCAGGTATAATCAAATCTTTTTTACAGACTGATTCAAACAGCTCAAATTAAATTTGTAATATTGTGTACATTAAAAAAAACAATTTAGCCCAAATGGCAGCGATATATAATATTAAATGCTCTCAGACTTTGAGGGGCTGATCCAATGCTTACCATCTGAATTTATAGTTAACTATGGTTAATCATATATTTCCTCCAAAATCAATGAGCCCTGCCTGGCTTCTGTGAGGCAGAATTCTGAACAGATAACCTCTACAGCGTTTTGTCCTGATTTCTGCATGTATGTTAGAAAGGAGGTTCCTGTGCTTTATTTCGTGATAAAACAAACAGCCTACAATTTAACCAGGCCCTTCTGGGAGGCTTCCAAATCACTCAGCCATCTTCAGCTAGCAAGACAACAGTGTCGCCCTGTCTATCTGGTTCAGTTCTGTTCTGTGGGGAAGGCTGAGTGTGAACGTCAGCCTCAGAGGAGAGCCCTGGGAAGTCAGAAACAAGAAGGGCCAGTGGCCATTTGATCTGGCCTCTTAGTCTCAATGCATCCCCTTTAAACCACCCGAACCACTCTCTCCAAGTGGCTCTCCTGATTCTGTGCTCTGTAAGTCCCCAGTGAGAGATTCCACAGCCTCCCAAGGGAGTTTTTGAGAACTGAAATCAGAGGCTAAGAGTTCTTTGGAAATGTATCAGATAATCTCTTACAGCTCCCCAGGCTTCTCTCTGTACGCAGACCAAAAATAATATTTATTGAGCACCTACTCCCTTAGGTGCCTTTCCTCTTATGAAAGCAATCCTTAGGTCATCTTGTCTTTGTCTCTTTTATTTGCTACAAAAATTTATTAAGAGCCTATTATATGTCACACAGTATTCTAGATTCTTGTGTGTATGCTGTTTGAGTCAACCCATCCCAATCCAAATCTATACCTCTTTGGCTTGTGATAAGTATTTCTGTGTAAGTTTCGTATTTCTGCAGAAAATGTGTGTTGTTTTGAAGAGTCTGTCTTCTGTCCTTCCTAAACTGGGTCCTGCCTATCTCCAACCCCAGGGGTCTCTGTGTTTATTTTCTCCTACCTCCACTCTTCCCATTCCCCCAAAGCCTCCTTTCAGGACATTTCCCAGTGTCCTCACTTCCTACTTCACTGGTCTCCCCGCAAATGCCTCTTCTTTCAGTCCATAGCTCACACCAACTTCTCCTTTCCAAATCCACTGTCCTATAATTGCAGATCCACTTTACGTTTTTGCTTTCTACGCAGCTGTTAGGTGCGACTGTAGGGGACACTGACATTGTTAAGCCTCTCTCAATCTCACCTTTTAAATTTTTTTTCTGACAGTTTCTTATGTGTATATATGCCTTTAAGCTATTTTCATGCCTTTTGACCTCTCTCATCTCCCCTCCCCTCCTGATGGAAACTTTCCTCTTTCCAATAAGTCCCCCTCCACTTTCATGCCCTCTCTCAGCATGCGACTATTGAGTTTGATCTGCATTTTGTGCAGGAGCTTGCACAGGCTGTTGTTTACCCCACTGAAGAAAATGATACCCTCTGCCCCTAATCATTAACTCTCAGTAGTCCTTTACAAAGGAGAAGGGCCTCATGAGATGTCCCTCACCTGTCTTGAAATGTTGAGGGGGTCATTCTTATGCAGGTAACCATAACTTCAGTGAGTTCATGAGTATAACAGCCATGCCATGTGCAGAGATATCATTTTGTGACACCTCCCTTTCCTCTGCCTCTTACACACACACACACACACACACACACACACACACACACACACACACCTTCTGCAAAGGTCTATGAGCCTTGATATAGAAGTATTGTTTAGTGATAAACACTACACCATTTATTCTCAGAACCAGTTTTCAGTCTCTGCTTTTACCACCTTGGCATCACTTTCAGTCTGAATGAGTAACAGTTTAGCATTCTTGGCTTGTCAACCTAAGCAAATTCTGGGCAAAGGATCCAAGAGGAAGGTTATCACATTGGTTAAGTATCTGAGCTTTGTAGCTCTACTACCAGATTTGAATATACTACTCACCTCATGGAAGTTGTTTGATCTACCCGTGCCTCTGTTTTCTTATCTATACAATGGGGATAATAACAAGATCAGGCTGTTGTGAGCTTAACTACATGTAAGACACTGGAAACTGTCCAGTGTTAGTTGTGACAATACAAGAAAATGGTATCGAATGATTGATCACAATATTTGCTGCTTTGACCAGATAATTGTACTTCTTAGATTTCATTAATTTTTTTTTTAACATTTCAGGGGCTAATTTTGAGATGTGAGGGATCTTTAGATGTTTCATTTATTTAATATTCTTGAGCAATGGATATGAATTGAGTTCTGATGTAGGATTCCCTTCTGTATACTGAGATTATTGATTATCATTAATGAATAAAGAAACGGCTTTGGACCTACAGCAGGGCAGAATTTAGCTAGGTGGGAAAACTAAACTGAATGCTGGGAAAAGGAAGGGTGGAGTCAGGGAGAAGCCATGTAGCCCCGCTGGAGACAGACACCAGAACTTTAGTCGGTAAGCCACAGTCTCGTGACTATACACAGATTAATGGAGATTGGTTAAATTAATATGTAAGAGTTAGTAAATAAGAAGCAAGAGCTAATGGGCCAAGCAGTGCTTTATTATTTCGGGGCTGAGCAGTCAGAAAACAAACAAGTGGCCTCCTCCAACAAATTGGCACTGAGGTGGCCAACTAAAATCCACTTAAAACCTGAAAGAGCTTGGGAAGAAATCCTAGACACAAAAGAACAGAGTTAAGCATATTTTGGTAGTGACATTTTCTTTGATGGGCTCTGTTTTCTAGAAGTAAGTAGAGATGTGGCTCCTTAAGAGAGGTTATCCTGATTCATTGATAGCCATGCCATTTTGTAATGTCAGCTTTCTGGGTCATGCTGCCAGAACAAACTCTGACAAGGTCTGGCTATGGGACATTTAAATGGGTTTTGTGAGCAGAGTGCAACAACCTGCTTAATGGTGCTACATAGACCTTCTATATACCTGGAACTGTGGCAATATGCATGACTTGTAGAGGCGGTAAATGGAATTCCACCATGTTGGACTGGGCAGAGCAAGCAGACTGTAACACGAATGGGAGCCTGCTTGTTGGTGTTTTGTCCTGCCCAGTACCCCACAACTGTTTAGCTCCAAAGAAAATCACACATAGGTCTCCATAAATTGTAAGCTGATTGGCCCATTAGCTCTATCCTCTCATTGGCTAACTCTCACATCTTGATTAACCCATTTCTATGATCTATGTTAGCCATGTGGCTCAGTAACTTTTTCAGTGGGGTGGATCACATCCTGTTGCTTCAGTGGTCTGGGCAGGAGTGGGAGGAATCAGCTTCCTCCTTCCCAGAATTCTCCTGTTCTCCTTGCATCATTTTTACTTTTTGTTTGGTTTTCCCACCTATACTTCCTGCCTGGCCAATCCGCATTTATTTAAAACATGATTGACAGAATACAGGCAATTCTCCCACACCAGCAGCCAGCACTGCATTTGCTCTAGCAATGACACAGCTTGGGTTTTTAAGAAGCACTTGGCATTTTAAGAAGCACTCCTGGACAGTAAAGAATTACAGATACACGATAGGACAGGTCCAGATAGAAAAGACTTCTAAATGGGTCACACTGTTGAATAAATTTACATAGGCTTGGGAGAGAGAAGCAAAATAATATAGAGTTATAAAAAGAAGTAAATGTTTTTTTTTAAATAAGCCATGTAAAATGGAATATACACAGAGAGTCTGGATTATGTATATTATTGTGTTTTCTTTGAATCTTTTGACTGTAAAGAGCCTAAGTAACCAACACATATACTTTAAAGGTATCTTGTCTTCAAAATTGGGTATAAGGATATGTTGCTTTGGAAAAGAGGTTCTTCTTTTGTTTCTACAGAGGATGAGATCCTGTGGATTGTTTCCAGACTAATGTGGTTTGATGGACCAAAACCCCCTGTAAGGTCACCATGAACACCCCCAAAAACTACATCACCCAACAAAAAGCAGGAAGCAATTTGGAGAGAACTACACCCAAATTCCCTAAATAATTGTTTATAAATGTTTGTTTACATTTAAAGGGGGATATGCTATAGAGATTTGCTTTGGTATAAATCTTGGTTTGCTGATAGAAATTTTAGGTCTATTTTGTTATATATGTATTTCTGCTTTTGCTTAAGGTATTGTGATTGTGCAGCTCATTTAAAAATATAGGTAAATAGATAATCATCTATAATAGTCAAGCTTGTAGTCATGTTAGTTATGTTTTCTAGATATAGAGATATATTTCAGTTAGGTATTCTTCAAATCTTTCAGAGACCTTCAGAATATGGCATTTAAAATGTTTTAAGAACTTAGGACTTTTCATGACAATGAGACACATTTGCTTTTGGCAGTTACTTTAAGAGGAAGATGGGCATTGAAAAGGCTCCTTATGGAGTTGGTTAGCCATTTGGGCAAGAAACTGCTATTGCCTGAACTGCTTGATAAACTGGACATGAAGGACCAGCAGAGAAATGACTGTTTAACTTGCCCAAAGGTGAAAAAGGGACTTTGGAGTTCTTGCTTCATGAAAGAGTATGCCAGATGCATTCAGGACACAGAAGAAAGTGACTGACAAACTGCCATTATAGGCAGAACTGTCTTTGAAATTTCCTTCTTTTTGGAAAGTCTTCTGGATACTATGGGTCTGTAGGCTGAAGACAGATGCCTCAATTGTAGAGGAGAACTTTGGGTGACTGTTCAGGCAATGAGACATTTCTGTCAATTCTAGAGTTTTGGAAGTTGATTACAATGCACTTCCTGTTTACTTAGGTAATATTTTTTCCTTTTCTAAATTTATTTATTTATGAAAGATTTCTGCCTCCTCCCCGCCACTGCCTCCCATTTCCCTCCCTCTCCCCCCCAATAAGCCCCCCCCCCCCGATCCAGTCCCCCTCCTCATCAGCCCAAAGAGCAATCAGGGTTCCCTGACCTGTGGGAAGTCCTAGGACC